ATTGGAATGGTAACTGTTAAACATGCCCATCGAGCTGTAAATGCGACGCATCAATAAGTTCTCATCGCCCGTGTGCTTATGCTGATGTAGCCAGCAACTCTCTCGCCGACTCAGATACTGATCCATGGTGTTATTCTGTGCACAATCCGTATATCTCGTTGCCCCTTTAAGAGATCTGATGGCTTGTGTATACAAAATTTTTACGACAGAGTAGAGATGTCAATATCGGTAAATATGTTACCGGTGACTGCGAAACATCGAATCACATTCAGTTCAATTTGATTTTGCGCACAATTTAATTAAAACCAATTGCATTTTATAAATAATTTATTAACAAAATTTCCCCCCCTAACAAAGGCCAGTTTGATTACATTTATAAGTTCTGTACGGTTTCAGATTAACATAAACATGTGACAGCCCTGACCCTGATTATGAATGGTTTAAATATCGACATTGTTGCAACTGGCAAATTTAATTTAAATGCATGAATGGATTTAATAATTAGCAAGAAACATATCGCACTTACCGCACAATTCAAATTGTTAAATAAACTTAAATTAAAACATAAAGAAATTTATTTTCTGCAACTTTGCATCTAATATCTATAATTTTGCTGATCGTTTTCAGGCATTCTAATCAACTGGCAATATGCTTGTTCTAGGTATCTCATTTGTTTTTAAATTTTTAAAGCTTATACTAACAGCTTTAACAATATCTCTTATTACCACTGAATTATTAATATCCTCAATCTTTTTCCCTGCTGTCACTGCAGCCCTGGCAAGAGTGACCGTACTTGTGCCACAAATCATTGGTTGGCCACACTTGTTTCGGTGGGTAATAAACAAAAAAATGAACACTTTTGCTGCAAGTTAAACAATAAATATGTAGCATAAGCACTTAAACAGAAAGTAAAATAAACCGCGATATCAATATGGAGCGCTTCGCTTTCAAGATTGATGCGGCCCTCAAGGCGAACTTGTACAAGATCTGTCGTCTGTGCGGCATCGATAATCCGTCCAAGGTGCCAATACTACCCAATGAAAGCGATGTTATAGACCTGGACGAGCCCAGTTTGAGCCAAAAAGTCTTCGAACTGATTGGATTTGTGGTAAGGCACATATATCAATTAAAGGGGCGTGGCGTGGTTTAGAAAATAACACCCCATTTGCAGGTGACACAGGACGATAAAATGCCGCAGACAATGTGCAGCCTATGCGTAGATAAAATCAATGATTTTTACGAGTTTCGAGAAATGTGTTTCGCGACAAACAATCAAACGCGGAAGCTACTGGGCCTCAAAGATGTGGATTCACAAAAAGTAAACAGTACCACCAGTTCATAATCATACCGAACTATCACCGAATTATGTCCCATTCACAGATTTTGGATGTCAAGCCGATATTTAAAACTGAGCCTCTAACAGTCGCTACTCCTGCGAAGCGTGGGCGTAAACGTAAAACGGAGGACCCTGCCTTAGCAGCTCCCAGCACCAGCGCAAAGTCCACCACGATGAATATTGCTTTGGATGCCGTCAAAAATGAGCCATTCAACTGGCGCAAGAAGCTGCGCCTGCAGCACCAACAGCTGGCTCCGGGCAAAACTGAAGTGTAAGCTTCTTATGGGAACCACATAAATCCTAATCTAAAAAAAATGTATTATTTTCATTTGCAGCAAGGAAGAGCCCACAGAGGTTGTCAAATTTACCATGCCCGCCAAAAAAGCCCGTAAGGCAAGTTGCAGCGTGTGCGGCGAACGCTTTAAGAACAAGGAGCTGGTCGAGGAGCACAAGGCGACAACACATGTGCCCACAGTATTGCGCTACACTTGTACTGCCTGCAATCAAAGTCACCACAGTCTCAGCGATATCAAAGCTCATCAGCTCTGGCATAAGCTTTCCAAGACGCCATACCAGTGTCCACTGTGCGATGCAAGCGTTGCAAGTAACTATGCCTACACGCGACATCTGCGGGAGCACACATTGCCCACGCCCATCGAATTGCTGGTGCTTGACCGCGAGTGCCCACTATGCAGGAAAACGTTTTTAACAAATTACTTTTATAATACACATCCTTGTGCCCGGCGCACACGCCAATGTGGTGGCTGCAGTCGTCTGCTCAACAGTGAAATCGCCTATATGCGCCACGCACCGCACTGTGCTAAGATCTATTTAAATCACTCCAAGCATATAATGCCCGAGGCAGCTGACAATGAAGCGCAGATGCGCATTAAGAATGAAAACGATGTGGAGGCCGATGACAATGCTCACTCGTCCATCGAATACACGCAGGCGGGAGACATGCAGCCAGTGGTCGTACTCGAACGCTTAGCATCCCCGCTATTGCGTGCCTCGTCTGTGTCCAACTCGCTGGGCCGAAGTAGCGATCGTGTGTCATCTAAAAAGTATTTGAAACGCGTCGATCAGCTGCTAAAAAATACAATGAGCACGCTCGTTAGTATTAAACATGAGCCGGAGGTGCATATCGATGACACCGGGCCGCCGCTTGCATTCGAGCAGCCCGAAAGCGAGCCAGATGAAGATCCACCTGCCTGTGATGATTTCCACGCAAATGCAGGCTACGATGACAGCGATGAGGATGCGGCCAGTGGCAGTGCCAATGCAGCAGGAATTGCACCAAGTGTGTCTGTAAAGCAGGAGCCTTTTGATGAGTCCTATGAGAAGCAGCCAATGTCCAGCAGCGATGGCGTGCAAATCAAACAAGAGCCGCTCAAGCTGAAACTGAAGATAACCAAGAATCATGGGCAGCTTAATTCATCTATCGTAGATGATGATGACAACGAGGTGCTGTCAAAGAGTGCCAAAAAGAAAAAGAAACGAAAGCACAAGGAGCGTAATAAGGAGTCCGAAATTGGCGACAAAGCGACGCAACCGGCTACAGCACCCGATGAATCTCCAACCGAAGAAACAGTAGAAGCTGCAGGCAGCGCAATCGTGTCCATTAAGCACGAGCGTTTCGATGACAACTATGCAGGTGATTGTGTGCCACAGGTCGAGTACGAACCGCAGGCCACTGTTATGACTAGCATACCTATGCTCCAGCTAGGGGGTAGCTACAGTGAATTAAACCAACAGACGCCAACAGCGGTAGCAGAGCTGGAAGATGTAAAACCGAATCGCTTAGAGCTAGATCGTATAATGCAAATAACGCATATAGCCAGCGGTGTGGTCATGGCAGAGGAGGCAATGCCGCCAGAGAGCGCCGTGGAAGCAGTGCCCAACGAAGGTCATGTGGAGAAACCAACAAAGCCTGCCAAAAAAACTTTAACCAAGTCCACAGCACGTAAAAGCACCGGCGGTGGCGTGCCACGTGAGGTTGCATCTACTTCAAATCTAACGTCAGCTGAACTGCAACTACCACAAATTGTGGCAGTGGAAAGTGGTGCATCGGTACCCTTTAATGCGGCTGCCATCAAGCCGGAGCCGTTGAACCGTGGCTATGCGGATGAGCAGGAATGGACTGAGCAAGGCGAAACAGAAGTAGAAGAGCTGGGGGCCGAAAAATCAAATGAGATCAATCACAATGAGAAAATAGACGAAGAGTCGGCCTATATAAACAGTCTAGATCTAAGTAATGTGATTATTAAGCAGGAGAAGGATTTGCATATCTCCGATGTCGATATTAATGGCAGCGAAGCTGGCAACATACATTACAATGGGATGCACGAGAGTGAGGACAGCGACGAGGATGATGATGACGATGCGAGCGCTTCGTCTGCAGATGAAGCTGAGGAGGAAAACATGGACACGTACGAGGAACCGGAGGAGCGCATTTATCGTGAAATTGAGCTGCCGCCATTGGAGGAGGAAAGTCCAATTATGAACCCGGCTCCAGAAGCGCAAAATGCGTCGGAAATATTGCCCGTGGAGCCGCATTCAGATATGATGACAATAGAGCCGCAGCCAGAAACGTTGTCAATGGAGACAGAGGGTGTGGTGCACTCGGAAATATTGCCAGTGGAGCCGAGATCGGAAATGATTTCAGAAGAGGCACAGATTGTGGTGCAGGAGCCAACAACCAGCGCATTAGAGAATCGAAATCTTGCAGAGACGCAAAGCAAGTCAGAAACTGCCCAAATGGAGCCACAGGATATGACACATGAGTTAGAGCCTGCCCTAGCGTCAGAGCACAATGTTGTGGAGCTGCAAGATGAATCTGAAGTGCCACAATTGGCTCCAGAGAGTGCAGATACGGAGCCGCAACAGGAACCAGCCAGTGCAGCACTTTTTAATTTTGTAATCACCAGCGTTTGCAGTCAGGCAGAGGAACAGTCGGAACAGCCATTGGAAGGTAACAACGACGCGATCGTCGACAACAGCCCGGAGCTATCTGAGCCAGAAGCCACGGAGAAAAACACATGTCCAGTTGTGACGCTTAGTGCGCCAAAGGATAATGAAACGCTGGCGCAGCCTTTCTTTGCCAGCTCATCGAACTACACTTGCGCTGAGGAGCAACAGAATGTGCTGAACCATGAACTGTCTGCTAGTGTTCAAATGCAGCAGGTGAATGAGTCGAATACAGAAGCATCAGCCACAAGAGCCTGCATTGAGGCGCTCGCTGAAGACGAGGGCAGCGCCAACGAAGAGACTGAGAACCGCATCAATGAGCAACAGCAGCAGCAGCAGCAGCAGTTGGAGCAAGTACAGCAGGAGCAGGAGCAGCTGCAACCACCGCAGCAGCCGCGGTTGGCAGTCAACGATGATTCGAATATCAATGAAATAGCTGAAAATAATAATAATGCCAACATTGAAAGGGAGCTCAATGACGATGCGAATGTGGCTCAGGAAAACCCTATACCATAAGCTAGATAATAAATCCTAACTAAGTTAAGCATAAACATACGTTCACATTTATAGAGGCCATAAATCGACCCACTTTGTACATACTGAATCCTTAACCTAAACGCATAATACTCGTATTATGTATATATATAAATATATACTTTACCAAAATTCGAATAAAATAATGCATATAAAGCGGCAATTAGTTTAAGTTAGATATACACAACTTTATTTACGTAAATTACATAAATTAATGGCTTATATAATACAATAGAATATATATGTATGTAAAACTATATATATATATAGAAATACATGTACGTAGATGTACTTATTTAAATACACAAATCGCACAAAACTCTTTTTCGACTCGTTGACACACACATACAGATTAACGATTCATTAATACAACATGACCATCGACCTCTCAAGTGTTCAAAAAAATTATTCTAATTTCAACACACATGTGTATTGTTTAAAGAAATGACTACAAAAATTTGCATTTAATGCACTTTAACTAAAAGCATTAATACTTGGAATCAGTTTAGTTAATAGTTCGAAGTTCCCTTAGTTTTGGGTTCAAAAAAACAACTGGGGATTACTTTCTTTCAAAGAAGATTAGGAAGCCTTATGGTCTGGTTATATTGGGTATTATACACCATTATTATAATTTTGTTACTTATTCAAACAATTTTGCTAATTATTGAATTTTTTATAGTTTTGAGCAAAACATTTAATAGAAAATGTTAAAAATTTGCAATTTCGATTAGTCAGTTAAGGGTCGCAATTGCAAAATTTTAATTTTTTGAATTACAACTTTATGTTTATTAGTATTGTTATTAAATTGAATAAAACACACATATTCATTCACATTTAGTTATTAGTTATAATTGTTGATTTTGAAAAAACCTCAGTTCGCGCATTTGTCTAGGCTTACGCATGGGTCAAGTTTTATAAAACAACTCCAAATGGGCCGCGACTAACTAGTTTAGTTAAGCACATTTTCAGAAAATATATCTTAGGTCTTATATACAGACTTTTGCTTCGGGTTGTGTTTGTGTTTTGACAGGGGCATATTTATAGTTTTTTTTTTTTTTTTTTTTTTTTGGCACATCTCTGAACAAGTTAAGCACATACAGATATAGATTGTAGGTTTATTGTTGTGGATACATATACATATGTATGTACATAAATATTGTTGTTTTGGTTTTAATTTTAAGTCATTTTTGATTATGAATTTCTTTTCTTTTTGAGCAATTGAAAGGAAATACATGCATATGTGAATTTGTAGTGAAGAAAATCATTCTTATGCAATCATAATTATTTTCGTTACTTTTTCTTTAGTTTTTTAACTTGTGTTAATAAATTTTCGTTTTTTTGTTGTTAAACAGTTTTTAGAAAAATTAAATTAAAGAGGTATGAAAAATTCACTAAACAGTATTTACAGTGATTTATCTGGAGATAAATCAAAATGCCAAAGCACAAATTAAATTATTGCTTATATTTGGAATAATGTGTTTGCCAACAATCATCTCTAATGGCCGCCTAGTTGTTAATCTATTCGGACCAATCGTTGTCCGAGGATGTGCTACTCTCCTCGTCGTCTGAATGCATGACTGTGCCACGTGCCGCAAGTGCACGACGCAGAGCATCGGCCAGGGCATCGGTAGCACCAGCGCTACCATCACTGATCCGCTGTTCAGGTAGTTTACGTTCAGTCACTGGCTTCAAGGTATAGCCTTCACGTATCTGACCCAATAGATTGTTGCGCGGATCAGCACTGGTGCCGCTTGTAGCTACTGGCTCCACCGGCTGCAACGGCAATTATGGTTATTATGATTCCTCAAATTCCTCAAAATAGATTCGTGTAGCACTTACCTTAAGCGGTTTGCCCTTGCGTATGGCATCCATAAGCGCATTGCGCGTGTCCACTTCGGGTGCAATTTTGCTGGCCTGAGACGTTGGTTGCGTTGACGCAATAATCGGCACTTCCGGCACGGCCATGGGTGGTGGTGGCGGTGGTGGAGGTGGAGGTGGCGCAGCCGCTGGAGGTGGTGGCGGTGGTGGGGGCGGCTGTAAGGCGATGCGTTTAGTTTCGAGATTTTGAATACATTTTCAATCATAACTTACCGCTGCTGCGGGTGGGCAAACCGTTTGTGGTGGCGGTGGCGGCGGAGCCGCATTAATGGGTGGCGGTCTGCTGGGTGGCGGTGGCGCGCGTGCTGCACCCGGTGCCGTCGTTGGCAATGGTGGCGGCGGCTGTCGCACCGGTGGAGGCGGCGGCGCGGATCTTTGGTTGCCATTCTGTGACTGCAAAAAAAATTCAATTTAGTTATAATTGGAATACAAATGTGCTGATAGTGAGTGTCACATACATGATGAGGATGATGACGACTCGGTACCGGTGGCGGCATATGCTGCGTTGGCTCCGTGGGCGATTCAATCTCCTCCTGCTTGACCGAGGCCAGCACATTATTGCTCTGTATAAAGTCATAAATGAAGGCGCGTGTGTCTCGGTCGTTTAGCTGGGACTCGGAGACGCCAGCCTTGGCAAAGAACTTGTTAAGCATCTCATCGCTCTCATTGCCAGTCAAATCGAAGCCCTTGTTCGCATCCCAGCCCACATGGCTGATATGCACAAAATTCGTCGGTTGGCTAATATCCGCTTTGGTCACCTTGCGTTTCTTATCCTTGCCCGCCGAGCCGCTCAGCCCAAAGTTGCTCGACAAGAAGTTTTTGGTTGGTGGCTGCGCGGGCGCTGGTGTCAGCGTTACCGAGTTGATTTTATTGTTGCGCAGCTGCACGGCACCGCTATCTACTGCCGTCGTCGTTGTCGTCGTCATCGGGCTCTTGCCTATAATGGAAGGCGGACGCGCTGGCTCTCGTGACACAGGCGGCGTTGGCGCATGGGGAGCTTGTTGCGACTTTTGCCTATTACGCTTCTCCAGACGCTTGCGGTTCCGGGTTTCTATTGTGGCGTCCAAGACGCGAAAGAACGAATCGCACTCATCCTCCGATATAAAGTTTAAGCCCACGTTGCCGTCCTAGAGGCGAGTAGAAGATAAGTTTTTGCAATTTCTTGGCTTGTTCAACCACTTACGCTGCCCTCAAAGGTGAGCAGAAAGGGACGCGATTTCACAATCTGCATGCCATCGTATATCTCATGCTCCCAAATCAGTTCGTTTTTGATCAGGCAGTAGGCGCGCAAAAAATAGGATCGTATGGCGCTATCCTTGACAAAGCAAACGACGCCCGTGTGCTTTTTCTTCCAGTGCGAGTGCGCGTTGCCCTCCGTCTTGTAGATCTGCACAACGGCAGTATTTAAGGTCTGTAAAGATGTAGCAATAGATTAGCATTTGATCGGTTACCAAATATTAAGGCAGTCCCTAATCCCACAAAAAAAAAAAACCTATTATCTAATCGTGGCAGCCGCACCTTCAGTTTGCGCCTCATTTGAATGCAGCGGCCAAAGACTGTGAACCGTCGCGATTGAGTTGAGAAACTCATCTGACTTTCAGTTTCGCGCTCTGGCACTTGGCTTGTCGTAGGCCAGGTCTTTGGCCATACGCTGCTTATTTGAATACCGATTAGCCACATTCACTACACTATCAACATTCACATTAGCATATTATTCGAGTTGGCTGGCTGCTGCCTGCCTGCAACTGCAAAGCTGCATACGCTTGGGATGCCCAGCACGTAGGGCCACAAATTGATAGCCGCCATGGACTCCATTGGAGTCGGGGGAAGCTAGTTTTGTGCGGACTTGCACAATGCGCACTGCGTTATTCTGTCTGTGCGCAACGGAAATGATATTTGTGGTGATTTAAGACTGCGTTTTTCTTCATTTTATTACTATTTGGCAGCGCAGGAAATGCTGGCGACAACCGCAACGCCAAGGGCCACATAACTGCCGCAATTAAAATCCTTGCCAAAAGTGCCTATACAAATTTGTATAAAAACAAGCTTGAGCGGCGCCAGTGTACCGCATCATCAGTGAATCAATCGCCAAGAAAACTTTCAACAGTTTCTAAAAACCAAACAAAAGATCTTAAATATAATGCGGATGAGAAGATAATGGAAAGCATGTTAAAAAACCTTTGCCTCACAAGGTGATTTCTATTTGTTTATTATGCCATTTTAGCTCTGCTAAAGAAAATATCTGCATTTGCAATAGTTGTTTATTTAAGTTATAAACAAAAATTTATATTGTTAAGGTGTTTGCTGGAGAAAAAATTCAGAGAAAATATCAAATTCAAGCCCAAAGTTCATTATGTTGAATGGCATATTATTTTAATGAGCTGATGTTAAGAACGGACGCACTGTTACATCTGCATGTTATGTTAATAAGAAGTTAGTTTAGAGGGCTGTTAAATATCGCCGTTCAGTTTGTGTTCTTAAAAGCTTTGAATATTCCTATAAATAAATATATAAGTCTGGAAAGTACAGTTTTCTCTTTTATGCATAAAGAGTAATGCCATTCAAACTTAGTGCCTTTGGCATCTGCTTATAATCTTATAATCCACTCTGAAACCGAAGAGTTCTAGTTTGCAAGCGGCTTAAAATTTGTAGCTTCTAGTAACTCACATATAATGTTAATTGTCTGTTTAAAGCTGGTTTCTATGTTAAATGGCTGTTACAAACTGAAACAACGCGAACTCCATTCTGTTAAATACAATAAAATGAGGATACCCATTGATTTAACACGATCTTCCTCCTATGCTATACATAAGTTATAATCCGATATATAATTATAAATTGATTAATTTTTTCATGTTAATAAAATACCTAAGGAAATTGAATTTAATCTAAAATATAGGCCACGGCCATGGCCACAACACTTGACATTTGGCCAAAAATGGTCGGCCCTGACTGAGCCGTGCATGACTCCAATTGATTGCACTTATCCCATGGGCAGTGGCGTTACGAATGTTTATACTAGGTGTCAGTTATAGAAAAAGTGCAGCTAAATGTGATGTAATATGGGTTACATTAGCAGCTAATGGCAGCTCATTTGAGCTGAACAACAACTGTCTTTCTCTTTACCTCTCTCTCTTTAACCCTCTCTATCCCGCTCTGACCTCTGCTGGCTTAAGATGAGAGAGATGTTGACGTTGATGTGTTGCCCACGCGGCGCAAAGTGCGAAATTGTGAACATATTTGAATTTTTATTGATGTTTAAGCGCAGCTGTAAATGTGTGTGTGTGTGTGAGTGTGTTTAAGTGTGTGTGTGTGGACATAAGTAGCATTGTAAAATGATGTCTTGCCTTCTATGTGCATACTACATGAGACAAGCTTGTTGCTGTTGTTGTTGTTGTTGTTGCCAAAGCATAAAAATCGATGGCAACAACAGCGACAATAACAAAAATAACTGGCTGTCACAGCGCAGCTTTGCTAAGTCGCTGGGGTGTGTGAGTGTGTGTGTGTGAGGAGGGCAAGGGAGCAATGGAGCGCATTAAAAGCCCAGCTATAACAACAACAATAACGAGAGCAGCGGCGTCTGCAAAACGGCAATAGCAACAACGAAAACAGACAAAAGACAAAACAGCAATTAGAAAGTCCAGTTGCCACAGTTGGCCAACGTACAGAAATATGCGTGGAATAAGTTTATACAAAATAAATGCAAACAATCGAGCGACAAATGGCCTGCCACAACAACAACAACAATTACAAAAGCTGCATCAACAACAGACTGTGAGGTAACTCTGCTCGGCCTTAACGTTATCACACACGCTGACGTCGCAGTAGCAGTCGACGTCGACGCCCGCTGCAACTGCAGCTGTGTCATTAACCACAAACAGCTTTTAAAGGGGCGAGATGTGAGCGTGTTCTGCAACTAATATAGCACTGATATTATTTTATACACGGCACCCTCTATATGCGTTGTGAGGGGGAGGGGTTTGCTAAATGAGACGAAATTAACAGGTTGCCACCTTAAAACACAGACATATACATATACACTATTCCAGAATGGAATATTATATAAATATGTCCGATCCGTTGTACATATATATTTCAAGACAAATAGCACACAGAAGATCGTACATTTTAGTACAAAAGTATAATATGCTGGCAATTTTAGGAAAAATCAGAGTTCTCTAGTCTTCTCGACAAGGAATTGGTCTCCACAATAAAAATGTTTAAATATTATTAAAATCAAAATTTGGAAAATTCATTCCTTAATAAATTTTCTGTTTTGTAAAACCATTATAATGCTCTAGAATTGAGTAAAGGGTATTAGCGAGTACCACTTTTTCAGCAAGAGAAAATCTACTTGTTTTCAGCCTCTTTTCTCAAACCTAAGCCAAAGTTTTAGGTCTTGTTTAATCTCTCCTTCGTAACAGGGTATCCGTCAGTTGGTTACTCTTCCACTAAGCCAGATCTAGTTTTTTTTCAGAGCGCAAAGCAAAAGTTCAAAAGCATTTTAAATGTTTGTCAATGGAAAGTCGAAAATTAGCAAAGCGTGAATTACAATTAAAAACAGAAACAACAACTTTTACATATCGTGTGAGCATTTTAATTAAATACATGGCTAGCCAGATGTGGATCGCATCATATTTAGAGTGTAGTGAAAAATTGCTGTGTTTGGCTACCATGTTTCAAAGCGTTCTTTAAGGCCCCAAGTTTGCTATCTGTGATTGTTTTTGGCATTGGTTATGGAACATTTCAGATGTATGGTTGCGATAAGATAAGTCTGGCCAGTATTTGTTCTATAATAGAATTTATCAATTGCAAAAGCTTATCAACTTTTTGAATACTTTAAGAATGTGTGCTTGTTTTTTTTTTCTCCTTCCTTCAATGTTTTTGGGTGCGAATAGAAAAAAAAAAAAACAGCTTTGTAAATATGTCGAGAAAATTCGTTGGGCGATTCATTGTAGACTTAAGTCCCAACCAATTGCTGATAGCGGCCCTCATAGGTGTACATAAATTCAGGGATATCTATTTTATGAATTGCAAATTCGATGAACAACGCTGTTGACCCATCTAATGTTACCAAGGTTGCTTTGGCTCATTTAATTGACACAGCGCATATGATCATTAGGTGTTACTTGAGCTTCTGCCTCCCCGCAGGAAATGCTTCATTAAGCTGAACATAAAATTACATACAGCTTCGATATAGTTAACTACAGAGCTGCCAAAACGACAGGGCAGATCTTTAGAATGATTTGAACAATATAAATATATATTGTTGCAATACATAATCATATCTCATAATGTATAAAGGAATAAAGGAAATTTGTTTGAGTTATCTTGAGTATCAAGAGATTTTCATATAAGCTTGCGATCGATAGTAAGTCTGCTTTATAATGTAGTCCAATTATTTAAATAGTTTATGGGGTCGCATATAGTTAAAAAAAAAAATTCTTGAAAAAGCTCAAAAACCAGAAAAAGTCCTTACAACTTTTAATATTCTCAAAGTAGTTGAAATTTGTATATCTGTTGTTAACGCTTTTAGTTCGCATTTAGTCTGATTTCGAAGAAAATAAAACGGAGTTTGTCATAACGAAGATGCACTGTAGTTACATATGCATGTGTGTGTGTGTGTGTGTGTGTCTGTACATTGTGACGCACTAAAATGCAGAAAAAACGACTTTATCGCCAACGCTTGTCGAAAGTGTTTTACGTATTTGCCACATTAATCACACGGAATTAATCATATACATAATGTATAAATAAGCTATATGTATCCATGTGCATATTTATTGAATGACTTACCTGACACTTTCGTCCCAGTAGCCTAAAGACCGCATCGTTCTCATCCTGGGTCAGCTGTGTGCTGGACGCATTGTTTTTGGGTCGCGGCAGCCCGGCTGCCTGTTGACCCTCCTGTGACCTCATGCTGCTCGTACTAATCATTTATGCGGCGGCGCAACGGCTGTGCTGTGTAACGTATATTATGAATACATTTATTAAAAAACAACTCACACAAAAACGCCAAAATGAGACAAATGTATTAATTGAATAAGCACAAACACAGTGAGGCCCAAATAAAACAAATCACAGTTATAGCGAAAATTTGGTCAACTGGATTTATGGTTTCGTTGTTTATTTATTTTGTTTTTTAATTATGAATAAAAGATGCAGCAGCAGCAGCAGCGACCGCAAGCGCTAACAGAGACTCGAGACTATTGTAATATTGGGGCGCTGGCAGCGGCTGAGCCAGAGGCAGCGGCAGCGGCAGTTAACGCCAAAGTTGAGTCATAGTTGGCCCAGTCGGTTGGCCAGCTGCGTACAAAACGTGGGCAAAGGCGCTGGCGCTGTCGCTGACACTAGCTTTAGCTTGGGCCTGGCTAAATGCGCTCTGGCTGTTATCTTTGGCAACTGATTAGCTATGAATGTATCTACAATTGTGTGTACGTGTGTGAGCGCGTTGGGAGTTATTTAACAAATACACAAGGTGTTCACTTCTGGCCTGCAATAAAACGCGACGCTGCGCAGCTAACTGAAGATGTCAATGACAATATCGATGACAGCAGCAGCAGCACAGACAACAACAACAACACCTGTCTGCTCCAGGTGGGGTGGCAATGTAAATAGACGCTTGAAAATCTGCCAGACAGCAGCACAAGCACTGTTCACTCCCTCGTTTGTCAAGGTCTTTTAGCGTGGCTGCATATTGCGCACAATAATAATTATTGATTTTTTTATTTTATTTTTTCACATATTTTGTTTGTTTGTCACTTTGGCTCACTCGTTGCTGTTGCTGCTTTTCGCTGCCTTAGGATAGCTTGTTTTTTTTATTTTAATAAAAATCTTAAAATACCAGCACAGTGTGACCGCAAACTGAAAATAGAAAATTGCTTAAGAGTTGCCTGCGCTTCGATAAAACCGATTTTATATTCAAACTATCGTTATCGATAATACAGTGCACAGGGCTGCCAGGCCGCGAATTGAAAAACCCGCACGAGCATTGCCGTTAATTTAAACCAAGTTTTATGTGTTCTTTTTTAAATATCTATTTAATCTACTTTTTTCACGCGCATCTATATACTTTAATGTGAATGCAATTGTCTTCACGGAAATTACTTCGTCCGATAGGAATACCTAGTGAACTGTAAAATGTAAAACATGACCGCTAAAAAGCCCGTTCCAAGACTATCTCCAAATGCAGTCAAGAATGGTATGGCCGAGGTATCCGGATCGATTTTACAGTGCCAGAGCGTATGCACCAGCAAGTGTGCGGTCCATAAAAGGATAAGCAATTGCAATAAGCTTGCTAAAACAAAGGCGGCAGCAAACACTATGTGTATGTTTGATTTTAGCGTGAAAATGTAGTCGGCCAGATAAACTTGTATTAAATTACAGGGTAGCGAAATGGCAATGACTATGCGGGAAACACGCGAATATATTGTGCCATAGCAAAGTACACGATGTGGCGACTCACAGATCCGAGTGCCTTCCGGCAATCTGCCAAGCGTTCTGCTGCGCTGGTGGAGCAAGGAGCTCATGTTGTTCGCCTGAACGGATCCCAGGTTGCCGCCGCTCCCATTGATAATAGGAGAGAAGACGGCAAATCCCCGATATTGTTCCGCTGATGAGCCGAGCACAAATCCGCTAAACTCGCTAATGCACAGTGCCCCAATCACAGATATCCAGCCGTAGATCAGCACCGGTCGCGTATAGACATTATGCCACACCAGAAGGATCATTAATGGTAGCAGTACCGCCACGTACGATCCAACAATCAGTATGTTAACCCAACTGGAGTTCTTATCCGTCTCATACAGAAATGCGGCCGTGAATGACAGCAAGCTAACGGACGTCACATCCCCAATGGAGGCCACAATGGGCGTGGCCATATAATCGGGATTGAAGCGATACCGCTGCGAGAACAATATAATCAGCAGCAGCACCGTGTCCAGTATTATGCAGGATGTAGATGCCGTGATAATAGCTGAAGCTGCCAGCGTCGATAGATTCTGAACCATGAGCGTACGCCCAATAATGGATTTGAGCACCACCGTAAAGATGACCAGGAACAGTGAGCACACTATGGCCTGAACCTGAACCACAGCCAAATTGCCAATAACTATTTTGCGTATATCGGATTTGTGGCGCATGTTGCCCACGGCGGATTGGGTGCACAGCCGTGCCGCCACGCACATGTCCAGATTGCCCTTGAGGCCGCACAATCCGGGTACCAGGACAAACAGCTCGTTCATCTCCTTGTAAACGGTCCAATTTCCCACCTTGCCCAGCATTACGCCAGCCGTGATGGTGCCCATGCTGGCCAAGATAAACGGTATAAGTATCTGGCCAAGAGTCGCGTACCAGGGTTCCCTATACACATAATCGGCATCCTCTTCTGTGGGTCCTCTGTGCAAATCGGGTGAATCAGCCCCAAGAGCTGGAATTTCAGTTGGCAAACTTATCGGGCGACCGATTCCTGACAGAAGCATTTGCCTTAAATTTCACCTAAAAACTAAAATTAAATTGAAAATTCTAAAGTTTCTCTCAGAGCACTTGAAATCCAGAGCTTATATTGAATGATATTATTTAAATTCACATATTTATATATAAAACTGTCCTAACTGACTGACGACGGACTGCTTGACTGACTGATTGATGAGCAAGGCAGCTGAACTTTTATGTAGGTAACTTTTGCAATGAAGAAGCTGGCTAAGACGGGCTTTTCGAGAGGGGGGGGGGGGGGGGCATTCCACCTGGGTGAAAATGGTGGTCAAAGGTTTGGCGGGCGATGTTTGGGGTTCAAATGGTAAACAAAAATGTTTCATACAAACTTTTTCGCGATTTTTCCACATAACATAAGGTAACTACAGTGAAAATTTTAGCTTCCTAGCTCTAACGACTTGGGCTGTGCGTTGTTCACCAATCAGTCAATAAGTCAGTCAGTCAGGACAAACAGTTTTCTATATAGAGTTGTATCAAAGACAATATAAACACTATAGTTAGTAATTAGGGTAATGTATCATTTAAATAAAGCATGCATTTCATGGATAAAGCAGAAGTACTTTGCTTCGATCGTAAGTTCAAAACTTTTCGCTCAATGTACTTCGAAAACGAAGCGACGCAAAGCACTATCGCCCAGCTTTGCTGAAGGCAGGCTGGTGACTAACTTCGTTGCTCGGGTCAGCATCAGCAAGCCGCGACTTCGGCATTCGTTTGTCTGGCTTTTGGAGAACGAATAGCCAGTCGGCAGGCATGTCGTGCGAAAACTCAAACGCCAGATGAAACGCCAGGCATGAAATTTTTCGCCGCATGCAAATGTATGGGCGTTACTCATCTTAGTGTTTAGATTGTCTTTGGTTGTATTAATAGAAGTATAATAGTAAAGGTCCAATAAAAATGTTTATGCCACGACACTTAGGCGACTCTATGACTATGAGAATTTAACTACGTTAATTAGCCTCAGTCTTCTACTACTTCCGATCTTTATGAAATTTTCAGGACCTCAATATGGTTTAAAAGAGACTCTTTCTTTAAAACTGAGATTTTCTCCCAATTTCGGAGATAATGGGGAATATGGAGAATATCATGTACCAATATTGGTATTTGTTGATATTATGAATATGAGAGAGGAGATATTGACAACAATTAAATGCGTTTAATATCGGAAAAAATATATATATAATAAAATTCATGAGTTCCTTTTACCTGTTACATAAATTTAGGAACCTGTAAAAAATGGTAAATAAGTTTTATGGAAAATTTCAATCAATTGTTATTGTTGAAAAACATTTCGTTTTTATTAATATATATTATTAGAAATTTAAATCGGCTTAAATCAAAGCTAACTAAAAATCGAAATACAAATACGCTTATCAAATAAAGATTTGTAAAATTATTATAATTAAAAAGCAGTGACTACAAATGTGTTACAATAATCATTCTCAAAATAATATTTGGTTTGCAGAAAGGAAGCCGACGGCTAATACGCTCACTATGTGTATAAAATTATTATTTTTTTTTTTTTTTTTTTTTGATTAATTTTGGCCTATTTCAAAGAGAAGCCCCAACATACATAGACCTTATATGCCTGCTATAAATAATATTGATAAATATTACAACTTTAAATATCGTATTATATGATATATGTTTCGTAGGTATATAGGATATATGCTCTATATAGGTTGTACACATCTGAAAAGGCCCGAAGGAATATCTAATTTATTATTTTAATGCAATACATTTGGCTACACACGAACTTGGAGCTGTTTCAACGCGTTTTAGGCTCTTCGTTTCTGACTGTGAATTGGATTAGATATAGTTTCTAGGCTTAACAAATCTAGCTACCCGCTAAATGAAGTAGTATAGGAGATATATATATATATATATATATTATATATATATGTATATCAAGACTATATAGGTTTGTAAGATATATAATTATATATAATAAACATTCCTTGATTTCGTTTATCTGCTATTCACACGAAAATGCAAGACGGGATTCGCTTTGTGCGTTCGGTTCTATTTGCGCGCACCTCCAATGGGCAGCCGGGATCGGGCGGCAGCTGCTGTTCCGGCCGCTTGACTTACCGTGCCAGCATCTGGCGGCGTATTGTCGAATGTGGAGCTGCGCAGCACCATAGGACGCGCCGCTGTGCCGTTCAGCGTATTGGAAGATTTCGTTTGCTGCGTCTTCAGATTGGTTGTTTGCTTGGTCTTCGTTTTGGTTTTGGCCTCGTCTACACGCTTCCAAATGTTGGCTATGCGACTTTGCGCTTGATTAATCTTAACCGCCGCCGCCGCGGCAGACGCTGCACTGCCGCCATTTAAATTGGAATTGCTGCGCGAGGGCGGCGTTGTGCTTGACACCCGCGATGCTTGCGCGGCTACGCGTGAGGCGGCGGCCGCCTTGGCGCTGGCCAGGCGTATATTGGTATTGGCACGTTGCTGGGTTGGCAGCACACGAGGCGCTGCTTTGGCTTTGGCTAAGACGCGCTTGGGTGAAGCAGCTGTTGTTGTTGTTGTTGTTGCTGCTGTGGCACGCTTTGTGGGCAGCTTGGAGGCGCGCTGCGTGGGACTCACTGCCTCCACAATCGGCACCTGTGCGTCCATATTTGTGGGCTCATCCTTGACAAAAGTGCCCTGGCGTTCCAGACGCGTGGCTGCAGGAGGCGGAGTTGTCTTCTTTTTGGCCGGCAGCCGTGTGCCACCGGGTAAGGCATTGCGCTTGGCTATGGTCGGCGAGAGCGTCTTTGTCTTGTTCTTGGCAGCAGCGGCAGCGGCGGCGGCGGCGGCGGCTGCGCTGCTATTGCGCTGACTTTGCATGCTGTAGGGCGAGATGTAGGCGGGCTTCTTGCGTCCACGCACCACCTTGACAGCCGCGGCCGGATCCAGAGCAGGCGGCGGCGTCGCTCTTTTGAGCGTTAGCGGCTTGGGTTGTGCCGCTGCCACTGGCGGAGACTGGCCGCGACCATGACAGGATTCCGTTTCCGAGTTCTGATCGCCCTCACAACTAGGCGGATCATCCACCGCAGAGGGCGTCTCCTCCTCCGGCTGGCTGGGCTGGCCAATGTTGATGTCTGTGATGTAGGTGAACCGCTGCATCATGGCGCGCATGGAGGACAGCTGCTCGCTGGCGCAATCATCCTGCAGCAGCAGAAGCTGGCGCGGACACTCGATGAGCTGGGTCTTGTAGCGATCGGCACTGCCGCGTCGCCTTCCATTGAGACGTGGAGATGGTGTCGCTGGCGCTGCTGACGACTGCAGAGACTCCTCAATCTCAATTTGCAATGTTTCATTCGCCTCCGCGGCGTCTAGAGCGCTGCTCGTGATGGTGTACGTCTTGTAGCGATCCTTGGCCAGGCGACGCTTTTGCTTGGGCGTAAGTGTGCGACGATTTGGCGAGGGCGTCGAGCTCTGTTTGGGCGTAGACTCCGCAGAGCTAAAGTCCTCGTTCATGGTCGCATCCTCCTCGTCATCGTAGTCACAGCAGCTTTGGAGCACGGTCAATGTGAGCGTTTGATCGTCACAAGCAGCCGTCTCGTAGTTGGAAACCGATATGGTTGTAGCCATGCTGCAGTCCTGATCCGCATCGGCCACCTCGGACTGTATGCTGTCTACGCTGATCATGGAGTCCAGCAGCTCATCCATAAGCGATGGCGGCTTAATGTTATCCAGCAGATTACAGCTGGAGTTCACGCTCTCAGCGCTGCCCGCCAGCTGACCAAGCGCACGCCTGGCCACCAGACCAGCTGGAAATGCCTTGCGCGCAAATCTGGGTGATTTGCTGGGCATAGCCAGACGCAACGAGCTGGGCTGCGTGTTGCAGGCAGAGTTCAGCGATTCCATGCCAGAAGGCGGGCGCACATTGTCCAAATCCAGGCTGCCATTGATACTGAACGTTAACTGTGCTGTGCTGTCATCATGGTTGATGCCATCGTCATGGTCAGACGCCTGCAGCTGCTGCAGATTCTCGGCCAGAGCGCGCGCCTCGAACGCAATCATTGTGGAGTTGGTCATCATGGAGGCGCTGGTGCCATTGAACAGGAGCAATCGCTGCTGCTGCTCGCAGCTGTGCACTGCAGCGCTCAGCACTTGACCGCCCAGCTGGAAGTTCAGGCCAGAAGATAGACTCTGCTGCTGCTGCTCAATTAGGGTCTCGGTTAGAGTGTGGCTTTCCAGGGAGTTGGGCTGCGTCTGCGTCAAGCCCGCTGCAGCTGCCTCGCCGTTAACCAAACCCAATGAGCTCGGCATATGCGTCTCATTGGTGGGCGTAATCTCGGCGAAGTCATGTAAATCCGGTGCCTGTGTGGCATCCGCATCAGCATCATCATCCAGGCTGAGCGAGCCCAGCACTGGCGCCGTTTGGCTAATGCTGGGAAAGGATACATCATTGGGACAGGTGTGCTCGTTCCAGGTGTTGTTACTCTGACTGTGACTGTGACTATGATTGTTGCTCTGACTGTGACTGTGACTGTGATTGCCCGTGCGCAATTGCTCCGCGGAAGTCACAAACTCTAGTGTGAGCCGCTCGACAGACTTGAGCATTAAATCGGGATCCTTATGCTTGTCCGAGCTGCAGCTGGCATTGGTTCGTTGCCTGCTGGCATCCGTTATTTCATCGAGCCGGACTGTGGTGTCCAGTATAAACGACTGATTTGACTCGTCGCTGGAGCGGTCCGCATCGTTCTCCGGCAGCCTAGACCCAATAACGGTCATGTGAACGATCGTGTTCGCGATCTCTGGACTTGGAGCTGGACTTTTTGCTGCGTCTGTGTCGGTGTCGATGCCGCGGTTGGGCAGGCTGCTCTGTTTGGCCAATTGGCTGCTGTGTTGGATTGATATTGCGTGCGATTTCTGCTCTACGTCTGGAGCTGCTGTGCTGTTGGCACTTGCTGATGTAGTAGCTGCCATTGGGTGACACGGTTCCAATGCAGCTGCAGACGTAGCTTGCGCGTTTTTTGGCACGGCATTGATTTTCTTCGATATGCCCGTATTGATGCACTCCAGCAGCAGCTTCTCATCCTTGCGCTCACGCTCCCGTTCCCGCTGATGCTGGTGATGGTGATGATGATGCTGACGCTGGCGCTTCGGTTGCACCGGCAACTGCACGGGCAGCGAATCGAACTGCTTGAGATTGGGATTGGACTGTGCCGAGGAGCTGCTCAGCTGCTGCAATTGCTGCAGCTGCTGGGATTTGCCCGGCTCTTTGGACTTGTACATGCCATTCAATATGCACAGCTCAAATAGCGACTTCGACTGATTGTCATTCGAGTCGCTGGAATCCACCGAGCTGTAGGATTCCTGTTGCACCGTCTTGCGCGCACTAATCGCCGAATTCAGCGAGCACGCCGAGGTGGCTGCATTGATGGCTATGGGCTGCGTTGAGGAGCACAGCGAACTGGACCGCTTGCTGCTCGTTGCGCTCGTGCTGAAGCCAAGATTCGACTTGGGTCTATTGCAGCCGGCGGCAATAGCCTGTGGAAGCGTAACGAAAAATGCAATTATTTCATGTACATACTATGTGAACCTGCTGCACTTACTTGACTCAGCAAATTGGTATCATCCTCGGAGTCTATGGACAGAGAGCTCAGCGAATCATCCTGCCAATGCGGCGGACGCCTGGTATTCTCTTTTTGGGGCGCCACGGCTGCCGCCTGGCTGCCCGGTTTTGCCGCAGCCGCGTCGGCAATGCTGTAAACAACATAGATCTTTAGATATACATATATGCTCGGGTAAAAGAAATCGTATTTCCTTTTGATTTTGATATATAAAACTATCTTTCAATGCGATCGGATAACAACAAAAACTTTTCAAGGTCTTTCAAAGATCATTTAACCATTTTCCACCCGTATGCGTAGATTAACATTAAACGGTTAAGCATGAATTTATTAATTTTAAATGAATAAAAAAATAAACCCAGAGTCCTCTGGATATTCCACAAAGTAAAGAAAAAGGCCGTAAGTAAATTTTACATAGCGAAAAGAATGGAATATACAAAATGTTTTGACAATATTTACCGACCTTGTTATCAGTCTAAATTGTTTCCAATAAATGTGCTTGGTTTAAAAACTTAGGCCAAAGAACAAAAAACAGACTTTCACCCATTTTTCACGGTGAAATACAGCTGCAATAAAAACTATTTAAAAATGACTTGCTTACCCAGCTGTTTCCTTTAGCTGCACCGCAGGTCCGACGAGACTAGAGCCCACAGTCAGATTGGACAAACCGGAGACGACAGAGAAATTGCAGGGACTATCCTCCACCAGATATTTGCTCATCTCATCGCTGACGGGCAAATAGGGGGGCAGGATATTGCCGCCTCTGCGCAGCATGGCAATGGGATCCGCATTCAAGGCCGCAACTGGAACAGGATTGTGTTTCTGCATGCCATCTCGGATGCACTGCTGCAGCACTGCCGCAGCGCCACCGCCGCCACCGCAATCGGAGGCATTGGAAGAGACATCGTCGGAGAGATTGAGCGAGCAGCGTTGCGGCTGCGTTTCGGCTGTCGAGCTAATGGATATTGCAGAGAGATTGGTATTGCTGCCCACCTTGGAGAGCAGCGCGGGCGTGTCCTCGGTACAATAGCTGCGCGTGGTCTCTTCGCCAGTGGCTGCTGCTGCCGTTGCTGTTGTTTCACTTGCAGCAGCTCCAGCTCCAGCTGCAGCTGCGCTCACTACCGCAGCCCGCTGCATGCCCATATTGATGCAGCTGGCCAACAGCAGCTCATCCTCCTTGTCCACATCGTTGTCCTCAACATCAACCACGCATATGGGCTTATCGTCATCCGCAATGCTCAGATTGCTCAGGCTGGTAGCGCCAGAGAACTGTGCGGGCGTATGCTCCACATTGAATTTGCTCAGATCATCCTCGAAGACGCTGCGCAGGGGTCGCTGACCGGCCCCGCCAGATGGCAGGACAACACTAGCGCCAGCCATGCTGCTGCGCCTGGGCGATTGCGGCATGCTTTGCGTGGGCGAGTCGGGCAGCTCTGAGGGTGAGATGACACCGCTGGCCAGACGACTAAAATCGCTGACCACCGAACTCTTGTCATCACAATTGGCCACATCCACATCCAGTGAGTCCATGGAGCTGCGCCGTGAGAACATTAACGGCGTCTCCAGGGCCGAATTGGGCTTGGCCGGTATTGGTTCCTCCTGCAGCTGCTGCTGCTGCTGCAGCTCCGGTTGCGCTTGCTGTTCCTCCAGCTTGACGGGCTTGGCTGCTTTCGATGCAGATTTTCCCGGTTCGTCTAGGCTGCTGAGCGAATCGTAGCGACTAAAGTAGCCCGGCGTGCCCTCCTCGCAGTAATTGATTGGCTTCTCGGGCGTATAGGAGCCGGATGCCACAGCAGAGGATAGCTTTGCGGATGATTGTTTGATGGGCGCTTGCGGTGTCGCCGCCTCATTCTCCGCCCCGCTTGATGGCTTGATGGTGGCTTCGGCAGGCGGCGATTTTTCCGATTCCGCTTCCGCTTTGGTCGCCTGTCGCAAATCCGTGACAGATGCCGCATTCGATATGACATAGGGCGTATCCTCGGTCTGATAACACTTGACACTGTCATCCAGAATGAGCAGTATCTCCTGCCCCTCGCCCGTTGCTGCTTTGACGGCCGGCGTACAGCTCGTGGTTGACTTTAAATCGGCCTCCAGTTGATTCTCCGCATAGCGCAGACTGAAATCTGTGGGCTGATCCAAATCCGTCTCCTGATATGTTGTTGTCTTGGTGCTATTGGCGGCACCTTCGCTATATTTGGCAGAATAATCAATGGGCTGTTCCTCCGTGGCCTCCGTATCGTGCTCCAGCTCCAGCTCAAAGTTGCCCTGTCGCTGTGCGGCATCGGAGCGCATCAAGTGCTCATAGGCCGTGTCCGACTTGGCCGAATAGACAGAGTCACGGCTCTCGCTCTTGGTCAGTAGGGCGGAGCGCGACAAGCGTGTGGGAGCTGGATGGCGACGCGTCTTGCTGGCGCTAATACTGCTGCCGGTGTTGCTCTCCAGGTTGTCACAGGTCTCGGCATGCCGTTCGCCCAGCTCCTGCTGCAGGGCCTTTTGCTTGCGCGCCTTCAGCGTGGGCAGCTGCTTGAGGCCCATGGAGCGAGCAATCGGATCTAACTGATCCTGATTCTGTACAGCGGGCCGAAAATTCAGAAGATTCTTCAGCGCCGAGGAGCTGCCCTCCGAGATCATGGTATGCTTGGAGTGTATCAACGAGCGCAGCATCGGCACCGCGCCATTGTCCCACAAAAACTTCTGATCCTCCGGACAGCGTGCTGATAGATTCCATAATGTACCGCACGAGTTGCTCACCACCGTCAGGCTCTCCGATTTGAGCTGCTGGAGCAGTATGGCCAGGCAATTGTGCTGGCGCAAGATCTGGCGATAGGGCTCACAGACGGCTATGTGACTGGAGACATTGCGCAGAATGCCGCCAGCATTCTCGATAATCTTGAGGGTCTTGCTCGGTCCCTCATAGCTGAGCATGCCGACCAGAAAGGCGAGTGCGCCCTCAACCGCACAGAACTCCGCCTTGTTGGTGCTGCAGTGCGCCGAAAGATTCCACAATGCCGAGAGTATGGCCTTTAGTGTATTCTCGCTCTTGTTGCGCATGGCAGCCTTGGCCAGTGCGGTCACGGTTCCAATCTCATTGAGCACCGCCTTCATGTTGCTGTCGGCGCGCCACGAGAGATTGCGCAGCACACTGGCCGTCACCTGGAGCAGATCGTCGGGTCCGCTTGTGTCCAACTGGGCGACCAGCGCCTCCATAAACTGCTTCTGGCCACAGAGCAGCGCCTTATTGTTTTCATCGCCAAATGTTAGATTGGTGAGTGCCATCAGCGCATAACGGCGCAGCGAATTGCAGCACTGATCCTCCGGCTTTGGTCCGTGCACAGCATGATCCAAATGCACCAGATTGGGTATTACCTGCAGTGCGCCCAGTTCGCACATCGCATGACGATGCTCCTCATCGAAGCTGACCTTCATCAGGGACGAAATGGCCGCCAGGGGATGACGATCGGAGTCATCGGCTATGGCCTCGCCGCCGCTCTGCAGCAGCGTCTTGAGGAAACTGCAATAGTCCACAATCTGATCGAGCAGGCGTAGCACTTTCGCCTCACGCCTGCCCGCTTTCTCGTCCGGATGACTGTGCACCACATTGTGCAGCGCGAGGCTGGCGCATTTTCGCACCTCCTGCTCATTGTCCGGCGCATGCATCATCTGCACCAGCAGCGGCATGCAGCCGGAGCGACGCAGCGTTGCACAGCTCTGACTATTTCCGGAGAGCTCGAGAAACTTTTTGGACATTTCCAAGGGATCATTGGAGCCCAGCATTGAGAGCAGCGAGTAGACACACTCGACCTTGGCGCCGAGCGTGGCATCTACTTCGCTTGTGCTCGTCCAGGCGGCACCTTTCGGCAGACGCGGCAACGGGGGCGGCGTCGCATCCGCATCCAGAAATCTAGAGAGCGTATACGAGGGCTCCTTGGTGCGTGAAACGCGACTTGCGGCGCTTGTTCCAGTTGATGCGGCTGATGTAGTTGCTCCTCCAGCTGGTGAGCCCAGACGCTGCGCTGGGAGCAGTTCCTGCTGCTGCTGCTGCTGCGCCGACTGCCGCTCAAAATTGCGATCCAGGCTGCGATGCTCGCGCAGCTCCTGCGCCAGCATATAGTCGGGCGGTATCGGATTCTCGTCCAGAAAGTGCTTGGCTGGCTTCTTGGCGCTGCCGGCTGCGCCGCTGCTTTGCGTAAAATGCAGCGTATTGTCGTCCTGGGTGAACTCTTTCTTGGTATAGCCACTAGCGGCCAGCTCATAGTCACTGATCTCGCCATCACGCTCGAATTTCTTATCCATTTTCAGCTGCTCCCCAGCGGCGGCTCTATAGCCATAGCTGTCCTCGTAATCTGGCGGCACTGCGGCATCATAGTCCAAGAAATGGGGCTTACGATCGGGAACCGCATCCACATCCACTTCCACATCGGCATCGGCATCGGCATCGACATCCACGTCCACATCCACATCGGTGTCGTCTAGGCAAACGCCAGCCATGCCCAGAACAATGCTGTCCTGACCGCCGACATCCTCCAGGTCTGGCGTCAGCGTTGGCTGCAACATGACCGCAGCTCAACTGGATTTGGTTTGGTTTTTAGAGCCAAGTATGCCAGAGAGTCAATGCGCCATGCCCTGCAATTACGAGTGAGAGGCGTTGGTTATAAATTGCAAGATGAGTTGGCTGATCAGCTGGGCGTCGAGTCGGCGCACTTCTATTTATATCTACAAATACATATATATATAGTATATACTCTGCCCACCACCAGTTGGCCAAGTTGGGCCCTTGAGCGAGACGCTAGCAAATGCAGCAGCAGTCGACGTTTCAGAATATCAGGTGTAAAGTCAAGTCTGCGGTCTATAACTGGTAATAAACGGCTACAACTTTGAGCTCAAATGTGCATCGGCAACCAAATACCCTTAACTCAATGAGATTAATTAATGCAATAATGAATGCAGCGCAATAAAACTGGTTTTTTGTAATACCCTTCGAACTTTTGAGATAAATGTAATTTCCGCCACAGTAAGTCCCCAAAATAACAATTATAAGAAAAGCTGCCCCGTTCCTTTTAAAACGCGCATCGTCCTTCTAGGCGATTCTCATGACTTAAAGCGATACTGATAAGATTTTGATATCGTTTGTAGTAGTATTTATAACTAAAAAAGCAGCTTCTCCCTTCCACTGACTCTCACACACTTAACTTATTTTTCTTTTGTTCTCTCAACTATTGTTCACTCGAACTTTACTAAACTTACAAGTATAACATCAAGAGCTGTCGGCATTACTTAACTTTTTGAAAATCGCAAAGAAAGGCAGAGCATTATCTCAAGATAACGGAATATGTTGCATTTATATCTATTAGTCAATTACCAAACGGATCATTAGTTTGATATACCCTCTGAAGATGTTACCTTGTACTACTAATACAATCATTATGATCATGATTAGCTCGCGCTGCATGTATTTTTTTTTAGAAAGTTAGCGGATCAACGTCGTCTTTGCGGAATTTCCAGTGCATGAAAAAGATACAGATGCGTTTTCAGCTGCTTAATTTCATTGTTGTTGTTGTTGTTGTTGTTGTTGCTGCTGCTGTTATATTTTTCATTTGAGCTGCCGCTGAGTTATGCGCTGTGCAATTGGGAACTGCATTTCTTATGGCAGCGGCGCATGCGCCGTATAATTGGATATGTGCGTATACACATGCATATACATATGTATATATATATATATAATATATGAAAAAGTGTGTGTGTTTTGATCTATGACATGGTTAAGTTGAATATTCTCACAAATGAACAGCAGTCTGTGAATTGGGACAATCCTACAAATCAAATGCTTTAGGCTCCAATTGGCAAACTCAACAGAATCGAATTTGCAGTGCTCCAATTGGATATCAGCTGAATTGCATGGCATGAAATACCTAGAAAATTATACACATTTAAATTCACATTTTAAAAAAATCCATTTAAATTGCTACTTAGAAATAAATAAAGTATTTCTATTTCAAATATAGAAGATACATAAATTAACTGAAATTAAGAATGCCAGAATTGAAATTAACCTCAAGTTAGAAGGTGATTCTAAATTATAGGTGCGATTGCCACTGTGAATGAAATAATATGCCAATAAGAACTGCCAGAAATTTGGCAATAATTTATCGACAAAAGCCTGAAAAATACGTAGGTATATTTTCCAACGACTACTTAGGCCCAAAGTGCTTACTCAATCCATGTGCACCCCTTTCTGAAATATAATACGCAGCTATACAAATTCGGAGCAGTCTGATAAGCAACAGTCTCTGATTAGTTGGCTGGGTATGATAAATGGAGCACATTCCCATACGTAATGCATGTGCACATTACGTACGTACATAGCCGGCATTTTAGCATGCCGAATGAATCAACAGTTCATCAATTAGTCAAAGCCCATACAAGTGTACATAGTTATACATACTTGCATACATATGTATATATATGTATGTACTATATTTGCACTTATTGTTGGCAAGTATCAGAAAGAATTCGTATGCGTCACTTGTCTAGTCCGGCGCCTCTTCTGTCGCCGCAACTCCCGCTGTCTTGCATGTCATTAACCGACCAGCTACATATACATACATATATACATTCATATACACACATGCAGACCACAAAAGGAAGAGACGTTTTGGCTTGGCACACATTTTGCATACCGAAAATCCAAACAGCAGAACTATCGCCGATGTAGTACACGATTGAAGATTGAGAAATGAGATGGGCAGGCAACAGACATTAAAGAGATATAATGGAAGTATGCGCGAAAAGACCAACACGAAACCAAAGATCTCGTAAGCAAGCTGAACATTAAATGCCCTTGCCAATTATACAAAATGATTTAAACATATTTATCCGAATGATAATCCTTGATTATAAAATACAAAATGTCACGTACATTTAATTATATTGTGAGCATATATTTATTAACGCTATATGCTATCGAAAAATTAAAAAGTAAAAATATTTTTTTATGCTAAAAAAAATTCTAATTCTGGGTTCACAACGCCCTTTGTATTAAAAACATGACAAATATATTTTTGGAAAATGTCTATATCTAAATTACGAAACAACTAATAAATATAGAAGGTTGAGAATATGTGAACAAGATATAATTCATATATTCGTTTGTTTACATGTTTTCTTGGTTTGATTTTGTTTGGCAAATTAGAATCAAGTCTAGTATTAATGCGTTTTATTTTGTGAGGGCCCACTGGATCACTAAAACAACTGCATGTAAAAACTCATAATCGACAATGCCTCCTTCAAGACGTTACACGTTTGAAGACAATGCTAAAGTACCCTTTGTAGCATAATAAAAGTACGCGCCCGTTCCCATAAATATGAACGTACGTATATGTATGTATGTATGCGCATGCCAGTATGTATGTAGGTATGCGTTATTTTAATGAACGTCGTTCGCCTTTGCTGTTGTTGTTTTCTTTTAATTTTCGTCTTGTCCAGTTTTCTTTTTGCAAGCAGAGATCATGATTATGTAAATGGAAGCAAAGTAAAAGGGAAACTAAATACTTTAACTATGCAAGTAGTTTATCTATTTTGTGACTCCGTCATTCCACCAAAACAATAAAAATACAACAGCGACAGTCGAAACCCCCAGAGCATGCATAATAAATAAATACATGAACATACATATGTATATGTACATACGCATACACATGCACACATTTAACAGTTAATTTGCGAATGCAACCACAATGCGAATGCAGACAGACAAAGTGATTAATTATGGTCAATAAGAGCGGGAAAAATTACTAAATAGAAATGAAAACTTATCAATTAGCTGCGCCACATTCACTTAACAGCACCTACAATAATAACAACAACAACAACGACTTTACAGCGGTACGCACACGACCAAAGTAGCTGATAAAGGAGCCTGCAGCTTGAAAAGACAATACAAATGCACAGGCACACACCCACACACGGCGCAGCCGCTTGCACACCCTCAATCACGCACACGTACACGCGCGCCAATTGGATTTTATTGATTTTTCCTGTAAAAGGAAATATGAAGGCAAACAAAAATCGCTAAAAACTTGAAAACTTGTCGAACTCTTCATTCGCTTTAATGATATACTTATAATTAAGGTTGCCATAAAAGCGACAAAGCGTCTAAAACATTTAGTGTTTAAAATTTTCTTGTAGGTTTTGTCACATACATAAAAAGAAGATTTTATTGAGTCTCCCACACAGCGACAAGTTTCGTGCATACCTTGACCAAAAGTTCTTAGTGGCTCGTAACAGCTGCTGCCTTGATTAGACACATTTCATGCTTTATCTTAAATGTTTACTTTGAGCGATTGCACTTATTTATAATTCTTACACATTTCGCGATAAAACAAATAATAGCGCACGTATATTTTTTGCTTTACAACCGTCCGTACTCAGCGGTTATCCGTGGCACAGCCAAATCTTATTGATGATGAACTAGTGATGGTCTATACAAAACGATTATAACTTAACATTTTGTCGAGCTGTTATTGACGGCGAACACTTGAGACAAAAAATACCAAAGGCTGGCTCGGATTTTAAATTTAACAGTTGCTCAAAATCACAGTTTGCAGCAAAATAACAACGTTAAAAATACTTTTCGATTAATGCTTTTTATTAATACGATTGTTTTTAAAACAACGCACATTTTAAAGAAACCCCAGAGATGTTGTAAGTCATTATAAAGTAATGAGCTACTTTGCATAAACTAAAGTTGCCGGTAAACCTTTGGAGTTAGAGTCATTTCTTAGAGTAAATGGTTATTGCTATAAAATAAAATATATAATTCTAATATATTATCGACAAATTGCATTAATATATCAAATAAGACCAAATAGCGCACAAACAAGACAAAGAAAAATATATCAAAATTGTTACATCGTTATCGTAACTCGATAAACGGTGGCGGCTAGTCGATATTTCTATATAAAACAGCAAACACAAAATAGATTAAATTGCAAATCATTTGTAATTTTTTTTCGTGTTCGCAAATCTCCCACAGTGACAGTATGGAACAAATGGACGTTGATGTTGACCTAACCGCCAAGCCGAGCACATCATCCTCAGCGGCAGCAACTTCGGCCGCTGGTGATGCTGCCAGCAACAAACAACAGCAAATCAAAGGCAATATTATGGCTGCGTCTGGTACAATTGCGTCGGTAACAATTTCATTGCATCCATTGGTCATAATGAATATATCGGAGCATTGGACTCGCTTCCGGGCACAGCACGGCGAGTCGCGACAAGTATATGGTGCACTGATAGGCAAACAAAAGGGCCGCAATATCGAGGTAATGAATTCGTTTGAGCTCAAAACCGACGAAATTGCGGAGGAGACAATCATCAACAAGGACTATTATAACAAGAAGGAGCAGCAGTACAAGCAGGTTAGTTTGTTTAACTTAATCCAAATAGTGGCCAGTTCATAAGTACTTGTGGTTTGCAGGTGTTCAGCGATCTGGACTTCATTGGCTGGTATACAACGGGTGACAGTCCCACTGCGAGCGACATAAAGATTCAAAAACAAATAGCCGAGATTAATGAATGTCCCATCATGCTGCAGTTGAACCCATTGCCACGCAGCGTAGACCAGTTGCCTGTTAAGCTATTCGAATCGTTAATCGATCTAGTCGACGGCGAGGCCACCATGCTATTTGTTCCGCTAACCTATACACTAGCCACCGAGGAGGCCGAACGCATTGGCGTGGATCATGTGGCACGCATGACCACAAACGAATCTGGCGAAAAGAGTGTGGTCGCTGAGCATTTGGTTGCCCAGGACAGCGCCATTAAAATGTTAAATACGCGCATTAAAATCGTTTTACAATACATCAAAGATGTGGAGGCGGGCAAGCTAAAGGCGAACCAGGAAATATTGCGTGAGGCGTATGCCTTGTGCCATCGTCTGCCCATAATGCAGGTGCCCGCCTTCCAGGAGGAGCTCTACACACAATGCAACGATGTCGGCCTGATCAGCTATTTGGGCACGCTGACCAAGGGCTGCAACGATATGCATCAGTTTGTTAACAAATTTAATATGCTTTACGATCGCCAGGGCTCATCGCGGCGCATGCGTGGCCTCTATCCCTAAGCGGACATGTGGAGAGATATTTATTTTATATATATTCTGAATTGCTGCCGATTAAAAGAAAAACACCACAATGTCATACCTTTTCTATTTCCTAGTATTGTTCACCAAATGTGTAACGCTTAGAAGACAGCTACGTTACCACAAAGTATATATACTCTTGAATCATATAAATAGTCAGATCGATATAGGTGACAAATCTCTCAGTTTTAAACTTAAATGCTGTTCCTCATCAAGATATTTTAATCAAACTCACAAATTACGAACCTCTAAGTAATCTCTTATCAGAACGATTTTCTAAGCAATTACAAGAGATAAATCTCATCAAAATCTTACCATTATATAGTAAAATCCCATATGGGAACACTCGCTAGAAAATTGAAGATCGCCAGCCAGAATACAACTTTGTTCTGTTGATAATTCGATTTTTTATTATTGTTTGCAAACTACACACAGTTGGAACTAAGCAGGGGAAACCACATACGTATGCATATCACTTTCTCATCTTACTCATCCTTCATGGAGCTTCAAGCTACTTAAATTCAATTCAATGTGTCCTAAACACTTAAATACATAAAGTTAATGCGGTGGGCCATTCTCTAATGATTATAATCGTCCAATTTAATGTTGGCAGCGTATTGCTGCAAAAACTCCACTTCCAGCGGATGCATCTCCTTGGCGGGTATGATCAGTGAGTGCAATGGGCCGCCCAGATCGGTGGCACGCATACCATGCAGCGTGCTAACAACAATCTGTTGGGTATCCTGGCCGACACGTGCCAGGCCCACGCACAACGACTGCTCATTTAGCACTGTATTCCGCTCCAGAGCATCCTTCTTCTCAACAATGGTCAGCAGCTGTTGTGCGGCTTCGGCGACGCTCATAAAACGCGGGGGCATGTACTCCTTGCGTTTGCGCATCAGCGACTCGAGGGTGGGCTCCTTAACCTTAATGTCCAGCAGACAGAGCGTGTGCATATTGTGCAGGCGATTCAGCTTAATCTTATCGTAAAAGCTATCCGGCTTCCAAGTCTCATCCCAATACGGTATGGAGACAGTTTCACCGAATTTGTACAGCTGCAGGCCACAACAGCCAATGGCATTCATAATGGACGCATTATGTATAACCTTATAGGGTATGTTCTTCTCCTTGGCGCGCAAAATGAAATCTGTGTGCGTTGTGGCGCCAAAAGGGTCGCCCACAACGAGCAGGGCGACGTCCGCCTCACCAGCGCCAGCCAAAATCTCATCGGCACCCTGTTCCACCAGGTCACGGTCAGCCAGCAGCAAGGGACGTCCATAGAACTCTTGCTAAACAAAAAAAAAAAACAACAATGTAAAACCGAATATTAATCGCATATATATACAGATTTAATATTTACGCCTCACGCACAGTTGTCCCTACTCACCATATCCTCAAGGCTGCAGCCCAGAATTGAGGTATACATTTCCAGGTACACACGACTACATTGCTTGACAATTTCAAGGCCTTTCACTGTGATATCCTTGATATCGCCCAGACCGAGTCCAATTAGATAGAACATTCTGTCTTGTTATTTGTGCGCAATTAACAATTGTTTACCTTGTGTGTATTTTTTTTTTGCAAATATATAAATGTGTAAATATATTTAAGCGCTATGGATGGAAACCGACACGTGCCCGTTATATTAGATTTGCACCTCGCTTGTTGCTTCTTCACGCGCGGACGACGCGATTGCACTAACATCTGATTTACAGTGTTGCCATGTGCGTCATTTTCCAATTTGATTTAAGGGCGCTTCGGAAAGATGTACTTATATAAGCTGGTCACACTAGCGCTGGGATTAAATTGAATAAAATATTAACAATTTATAATAAAAACAGTAGTTATTTTTGTTGATGCACATTTTTATTAATGTACACACACTTTTGGCACTTTTGTGTGTATGCTCTACTCGTATTGTTCTAGCAGTTCTAGCCCTCGTTAACATTAAAGCACTCAAATAAATACTAAAAATAATGTTTGAATTTGCGTACTATATTTTTCAACATTGGCTATCTATCGTTATCGAATCAGCCGATTTATTGCTGTATATTCCACGTGCGGCTGCAGCTTTAAAATTTGTCTCATCCTATTCTAGTGTTTGTTTATTAAATAATAGTAAACGTCAAGATGCCGCCGGTAAGGAAACCCAAACCCTATAAGATGCAGAAACAAGTGACACCGTCCAAGTCGCCGGACCAAAGTAAAACCGTAATTTCCGGCCAGGTGAGTTAAAGACTCCAGATAACGGTGCCTAAACTATATGCGCCACCATTTTTGCAGTTGAAAAAGAAACTGAACCACGCCAAGCCACAGCCAAAGGCGCACCAGGAGCGCGGTGTGGTGTTTATCAAACATTTACCACATGGCTTCTTTGAGCAGCAATTGCGTCAGTATTTCAAACAATTCGGACATGTAACGCGTGTGCGCCTCGCGCGTTCCGAGCGCACCGGCGGTAGCAAAGGATTCGCATTTGTTGAGTTCGAATATCCGGAGGTGGCGAAAGTAGCGGCAGATACCATGGACAACTACCTGATGTTTCAGAAAGTGGTAAAGGCCTCGTATATACCGCCCGAGCAGCAAAAATTTAATTACTTCAAGAAAACGGTGAAAAAAGTCACAAATAAGGTAAGCAACAGATGAAGATTGAATATAAATTGTATCTAATACTATGGTTTCTAGGCTGGCAAAGAGATTTATGTTTCGGATGTAACCAAAGCTACGCAGCGCAGTGTCAAGAAACAAAACGATTGGAACGAAAGTGCCTGCCAGAAAAGAACTGTTTCGGGCATCAAAAAGCTAAAGAATATGCAAGAGAAATATAAGCATTTGGGACTTGATTTTTCCAATTTCATAGTCGAACCTGTTAAGAAATCAAAGTTGACGGAACAGAAATCTAAGGCATCAAAAAGCAGCAAACAGAAAGTACCGGAAAAAGAGCTGGAACTGGCAGATCTGCTGGGCAACACCATCAACGAAGACTCGGATGATGAGGACTATGTTGATGCAAGTGACGATGATACTGATGAGCTGAACAGCGCTGAAGATGATAGCGAGGACGCTGAAGATGATGACGATGAAGAGGTGGAGCAAGAACTGCAGCCAAAACCAGCAGCTAAAAAGTCGCAGAAGAAAATCACTAGCGCTGAGCGCCAGTCTGAGCTGCTCAAACGCAAACCCGGCACGGGTGGTGTGCAGAAAAAGAAGAACGCTGCAGCGTCCAAAGTGACCAAAAAGGCGGCCACGAAAACGCTGCAACTGGCCGCGGCCAAGCAGTTGGCCAAGCCGCTGCAAAAGAAGGTTGGCAAGAAGCTGAAGTAACTATAGTACATTTACCATAACAGTTAAGTAAACAAAACGTTGTATAAAAAATATTTGTTTTTTTTTTTTAATTTCAACTAATGCGCTTTTGTGGAGCCGGATAACTCAAGCTTGATACGCTTGCATTTCATGCGACGATTTTGGAACCAAACCTTCACCTGGCGCTCGGTCAGCTCCAAAGCGACGGCAATTTCGTAGCGACGCAGCCGGGTTAAGTAATTGGAGTAGCAAAATTCAGCCTCCAGTTGCTTGAGTTGGGTTTTCGTAAACGCAGTGCGTTCCTTGCGCTGAGCGATGTGTGCGGTGGCGATGGGCTGCGTTGGAGTCGTGGATGTGGTTACGCTACCTGTCGATTGCAGGGCGTGGCAATCATTAGGCGCAGTATTGCTCCAGATCCTTTTCCCATAATCCTCATAGCTGGATGCATTGCTCTGCTCATAATTGTAATTATACTCCGCATAGCCGTCGTAGTTGGGCCAACCTTTTGTATCATTTACGTAGAAAGCGGACGGATCCGTGTCGCTGGCGCTGCAGTTCTTCATTGGAGTTCCTTATGGACGCACACTCTAATTAATACTGAACGCTCGGCCACATGAAGATGCCTCTTAAAACGATTTTTCTGCTAGACGCTGATTGGCTCGCACTCTCCGCAGCCGATTGGCTCAATCTGTTTTTCCAGTTAAATGTAAATGATGTGCCGCTGATATGATAATTGTGCGCAACATCTGGACACACAACTCCCCACACCCGCCGGCTCGACCAACCAGCCGTAACGTCGCGTGCTCTGCTTTGCCTTTGAGCGCTTGTGACACCCACAAACTATGTTGTTGTTTTTCTAAGACTCGGATGACCAGCCCGCTGATCTCAAAACAAAACAAAGAAATCTGACTAGAAACGGAAGTAGCTGCAGCGCGCATGTGTGTGGTTCTAGGTCTACAAACAAACATGAGTCAAGTGCTTTGTGCGCTTTGAAGAACTCTAAAATTTTAATATCGCTCGTAAAAGTCGATCGTCAGTTGGGGATTTATATAGTAGATGACTGACTGTCAATTGCACGCGCTTTTTAATTTTCGCGCATCATTTGGTTAGGCTACGGCGCGGATATCCACATCCTCAACTTTACACACTGGCCGCAACTTGTCTATTAGTTTGCGTTCAAGCTGATGTCATCATTATTCTGCAAATTTCAAAATGAATAATAAAAAGCTAAAATTTTTTTTAAATTATAATTTGGTTGATAAAATAATAATCTCGGCACTTAGTGACATTTTTAAATTTTAAACTCGCAACACAACCGCCAAACAACACACAACATCTGGCAACGCCATTTTGAGGCTGGACTCTTTATTTATTGCTCTTTAAATACTGAGAAAAATAAATTAATACCAGTTCTTGAATGTCAATTTTTGATTTGCCTCTATTAATTAGTGACAAAATCAAGAAATAATTTAGTATGGCTTATTGCTATACCTATTTAAAATGTAATATTTTTTCGACCCTTTTTAATTCGTGTCTGCTGACATGCGATAATATGAAAATGCTCCCATGTATAAAAAATCGAATGAGTACACCATTCGATATGCACTCTCATACCTAGGTGAATATAAACGAATGCGGCTATTAAACATCGATAAACTGAAACAACAACAGAAAGGCGTCCGTGGTGTTCGGTTCGCGAGTCGCGCATCCGCATCAGCTTTTTTTTCCAAAATTAATTAATTAAATTAATGCAAAGTAAGTTACTGCTTATGTTAATAGCACAAAATAATGTACAAACGCGCGCCGCAATGGCAAATTAAACTACAAACGGCAGAAGTGGCAGCAGAGCAGCAGCGACTGCGGCGAAGTGCTGAAAGGAGAGAGAGAAAAAATCTCTAAAAAAAAAACACCGAAAATCTTTAACGAGTTTTTGTGTTTGCAGATGCGGCAGCTGAAAAATTGCGTTAAAAGAAAGCTGCGCTATAGCCTGGCCACCAATTGAATTGTTAAATATGATCAACAAACTAGCAGTCAATTTTTAAGTTGTACTTGTGTGTGTGTGTGTGTGTGTGTGTTTCTGTCTGTGTTTTGGTGCGTGCATATGTGTGCGTTTATGCCTGCGTGTAAGTGAAATAAAAGCAATTGTAAATGAGTGCGCAAAGAAGTTGTGAAGTGGCGGCAGCGACAGCCAAGCCCAAAACTTCAGTCAAGCATTACGAGAGAGAAGAACGCTACAAATATTAAAACAAAGTGCAAATGACGAGAGCGCCAAACACATTGGCAAATTAAATACAAGTCAAAAAAGAAATAAGCAACGGTCAGCAGTTCCAGGTGTTCAGCAAATTGCAGCAGCAACAACAACAAAAACAGCAGCAACACACACTCACACCCGCACAGGGAGCGGCAGCAGCCACAGCAGTGGGCGACAACGTCAGCGTCGCGCAATGACCGAGGAATTGAAAGTGGTGCTGCGCCGCAGTCGCAGTGAGCAGCATTCCGGTTTCGGGTTTTCGTTGCTCGGCACAACTGGACCGCCGCATGTCATCTACGACATTGTTGAGAATTCGCCGGCCGCCGATTGTGGTGCGGTAAGTAATCCTCGCATATGTACACACTCTTTCCTCTGCTATGCCAGTATTTGTAAGAATACCACACATTGTGAACTATGCTAAAGGCTGCACCCTATCTCCTTCTACCGCAAACTCTCTTATCCTACTTGGCGTTGCTGTATTCTCATTTGAGACTGCCCTATGACTTCATCAACCACCAAGGTAGCATAACGGACTCAAGTAGTGAATATGCCGTGCACCACCCCCTTTTTGTCGCATTTGCCGCTGTTGATAAGCGCATTTTTTACGTTTGATGATTTTGTGAGTGTGAATGTGTGTGAGTGTGAAAAGCACTCAATTTTGGAGGCAAAAAGCTGCCAGAAGTCGCGGAACGCGAACCGCGACCTCGACGCAGTCATCGGCGTTGCCCATCTTCAATAACGCCCACTGTGATGTCATCGTGTCACTTGCCATTTTATTGGGGGCGCTGGCACTGACTAGCCGGGCGCAGTGACAGCTCCACAGTGTATACCACACACTCACACAGAACTACCGCTATGTATCAATTTTCGTTTGGGTTTCGCGTCTATTTACTTTTGTTATTGAAATTCCCATGAATTGCCCATTTGCTCATTTCGATTTCAATTTAATAAAAAAAAATAAAAAGAAAATATAAACATACATGATTGTGTGTCTGGGCGTGTGCACAGCCAGTAAAAAATAAAATGCGAGAATTGGCAATTCATTTTCCTATATTTATTTAAGTTTCCATTTCCATTTTAATAAATCTACAAGGCAATAAATCATTTGCATTGTAGAATCGTGACGCAAAAGATGTGCCTGAAAAATACTATTGCATAATAAATTAAGAATTAGTTAGTATTTTATATTCTTGAGAGAATCTTCTCCCTATGATAAGCGAGCTATTAATACTTATGCGGTTAATCAACAGTTTCGTTGTTGAAAACGAAAAATTAATTCTGTTAGATGATATCTTTGAAGTATCTTTTATCTTGGGGCTGCGCAGCGCAACTTTTTCTTATCAAATGAGTTATTCTTAGCTTAATTACTTTTCGACCTGGATTCTTACAAAAAAACGTATGATTTTAATTTTGCTTTGCGCATCAGATTTTGCATAATAAAACAATAGCAATCACTTTCGATTTTTTATAAAGGGTTTTTCTCACAGGATATTTGTTTTTTATGATCTCTATGAGTCGAAGGTCAACAATGCATTAGTATGTGGTACAGGGGTCGCTCGAAAAATATAACTAACGTTTTATAGTACTATACTATACTACATTTTAAACAAATTCATGAATATATATTTATAAATGAAAAAAATACGCTATATTAAAACCAAATAAAATAGACAATTTACATAGGGTTTTCAAAATCGATGTTAAATGAAATATTCTATACAAGTTCTGGAAGTTTTAATATCATACGCACATATGCCCATAAGTGTAATGACTTCCTTATATTAGAAATTTACGCACAGAATATAAAAAAATATATATATGTTATTAAAATATATGTATGCCTCATTTTAATTCCCTCAATAGGCTATTACTAAAGATTTGTGTTGAAAATCCCAAACACAAATCGGAAATGATTCGTTGGGGATATGTCCACGTACCGGGAGTTGTATTAGACGGAGCCGAACGTGTCACACATTTTAAATGCAACTTCAAATGCACAAAGTTCGTTAAAACAGTTTGGTTTTCAAAAGAAATGCAAAGTAATCGAACAATCACAACAACAGCAGAAAACAACAACAACAACAAGCAGAAAGCGCAGCTATAAAAAGCAAAGCAAAGACAAAATTATAAAAATAAGTCGCACTCACACACAGACACGATACGAACAGAAACACAGACGTGTACACAGTGTATAGTTATCAGACTTAGCAAATGTAAAAAGAAAATAAAAACAGAAAACAATAAGACAAACAAGCAACATGATGTTTGTACACGATTATTATTATTGCTTTTGACTTTTCGAGCGCGTCTTTTTGGTTATTAAAAATAACTTTATTCGAACGACTAAAACAACAAGAGAAAAGTGTGAAAGAGTTAAGGAACACAGACACAAAGAGTCGAGTGCAAAAAACGTGTTTTGAATTTTAAATTAAAATATTAAGTAATTTGACAAATGATTAAGAGAAAAATAAATGTTCGTATAAAAAAAGTTGTCAGCCAGTCGCAGCAACAGTGCCAATGACAGCAACAACAACATAAACAGCCGCAACGTGGCCTGCAGTCTGCTGACAGCGTCGACGTCGACGCTAACAGAGCAACCAACTCGCCGACTTCGTTGCCGGCGTTGTAATCACACTCACACATTCGCATACGCATACATACACACACATACACACGCATCGGCACGCACTTTTTCAATTTGTTATTATCGCTTTCGCTTACAACTTGTTGTTGCTTTCAGAGGGGATGCTATTGCTGTTGTTGTTTTTATTTTTGTCGTCTCTCTCGCTTGACGTCTTTACGTTTGTTGCCTTTTGCTATGTCTTTGTCTGTTGCTGTTGTTATGGGTGCGCAACATTTTTTCAATGGGTTGTGAATCTCATACAATTCTCACACTATGTGTATGTGTACATGTAAATGTGTAAGCATGCACTTGTATAAAGTCAATGTACATATATATATGAGCTATCTGCTGGATCGTGATTTAAGCGATAGTTTAATGTTAAATTAAAACGATTTCTATTTGTATTCTCAGTGAGAGACTATGTAAGAAGCTTTTTAAATAACAGGAGTTGTGACCATATTAAAATGTGGAAATATTTACATATGTATGTGTTTGTGAAAACTGAGATTGAGAGGGTTGTAAAAAACATCGCACTTATTTAATTGTGTCTTTAAGCGGGATAATATGCAAATGTTTAATACTTATACCTGCCGTAGAGGATATTTTCTTAGTTTTGTTGCAAACATATTAGTCCCAGAATTTACAAGTTAGGTAAGAACTTATATTACAAATTACATGAAAATGTACCAGTTGTTGTACATAAATTCTAAACGTGCCTGTAAGTTTCTGCACGCATCCCCTTTATGTCTATTGCATTCTATTTAGTTTATTGTTATTATTGTTAGTTGGCAGTTATGATGCGCTTTCTTTGCGTATTGCTTGTTTTTGTTTGTATACAATTTGATACGACAACGAACGACAAATTTGTATTAATTGCATTAAATACAGAAAACTGAAGAACTGGTCATCTGTTTGCCATATCAAATGTTGTTTACATTAAAGTGATTTTGTTTTCTATAAACACTCGCACCTGCATGTGCATAAATATGTATATACATATTAGTTTCATTTTAATACCAACTTATGTGCACACATACATAGGTTTATACGTAAATACAAACACGCATACAGAGTCGTCATTAATCAAATTCTGGGTTCTTCTACATTTTGGTGAATTTGTTTCTGCTCTTAGCTAAATTGCTTTTTAATTTCTACCTACGAGCTGTCTGTGGCTTAAAACGAGACCAGTTTAAGAACGAGAACAGTTCACATTTCAATTACATATGCACATGGCTATGTATGTGCATGCGTGTGTGTGTGTGTGTGTGTGCGCGCTCATTCTAAACTGGTCCAAAAGACGCATTAACAGCTTTAATCATCAACATTTGCCGCTGAACGCACATGGTTGCATATTTTTGTGGCCACAATCTTCCCCACCCACTTCCTTGCCCAGCCCCTTTTCACGATTGTCTGTCATCTTTTGTATGTACATATGTATGCGTCTGCCCCTCGGTCTTGCAAAATTCTAACGCTAAGCTTAATTAGACTTTAACTGGAAGTGACTAACGACTTTTGTTATTGTGATGTCTGAAAAGAAATTAATTGCCGCAGACAGGCGGGCAAACAAAAGGAACAAAAGAAAACCACAAGGCTATATTGATTTTTTTTTATCTAAGTGCAACTTTTACACACAAACACACACATACATTTAAGCACGGTTTGGTCAGCATTGCGAACTGTCGTGTTAGTTGCAATGGGCGTCTTTTATATATATAGTAAATACATATCATCCCACATTAAGAAAATTGTCATCAAATATAAAATTAAGCTAAGTTTGCTACAGAAACAACAAATTTTAACAAACTGTCGTTTGTGGGTTCAACGTGCGTAGCACACGAGTTGGTGGGTAGGTCACGACACGGTACGACAAAAGCAACGTGCACGCGACATTTTGCCATTTCGATAAATGTCAACGGTCCGCGTATGAACAAGAGAGTTTGTCGTTTCTCAGTTTTCTTTGGTTGGGTTGGAAGTCAAAAGTGCACACACTAAAGTAAATTCGCTTTAATTGAATTACAAAAGTAGAAAAAAAATGCGCGCGTTTATTAAGTTAGTTTTTAATGGTAGCTCAACGGGTGAAGTAGACTAAAGTGTGAGGTAAGCTGAGTGGGGGGTGGCCTTTGGAGAGGTTGTTGGCGGCGTTGAGCGCACGCTGCGGTTCGTTGCACGCCACGGCACAGCGAACAGCGCAACAACAACAATAACAACAAGCATTTACGAAATAATAAGTTAGAACAATGAGTGCATAAGGCACTCGGCTAGCAAAAAGCAGCCGAAGAAAGCGCAGTGTGCAATAAACTTTGCGCTAAATCTGAGCATTCTATTAAAAATGTGTTTGTTTGTGTGCGTTCAAGCGGCGCAAAAGACGCTACCAAACACTAACTACATATACATACATATGTTTGTTTGTATATAATGCACTTAATGTACATACATATGTATGTATAAATGGCTGCACTTTGTCTGACGGTGTTGCCACTTGGCTGCAAATTGAGTGGCAGCACTTGTAGTTGTCATCCGTCTTGAGTTCTTTTCACGTGCATGTGTGTATCTATGTTATTGTTGTCTCTTGTTTTCTTTGTTCGCACTCCCTCTGCTTGCCACTTTAAGAATGCTCAATTAGACGCAAAGTGGCCAACGAGCCGGCCGGCTACCTACCTGATTGGCGTAGTCGACTGGATTATCCCCCCACCTCTAGTGCCCTGGTTAGCTATTTGGGCATGTACATATGTGCAGTGCAGTCGCGAATTTGTATGCGAACGCAAATCAATAGCAAAACGGGCACCAAAAATAAACTTGTTTTTTCTTCTTCTTGCTTTGTTTAAAAACATTTTTCTGGGTGGTTTGCTCGTGCTGTAGTTTACGCTTTGCACAAATGCAAAAACAGGTCACATTTCGCGGCCGTTTGAGGAAGGGGTTACAATTCGTGCTAATTCCTCAGCCTCGGCTGTTATTTTTAGTTTTATTTCTGCGTCTCACACTAAAATAGGCAAAAAGTTAAGCAGCTGTGAAATTGTCGTTAAAATTGAAAGCCAACTCAAATGCTTTGTATGTACATGAGAATGCACAGTTAGAAAAAAACTTGTTCTAGAGCATAGCGATGCGGTTTATTTAAATAACGAATTACGGTAATGGTTTTTTATATCTTTAAATTTGCATATTTACTAAGTTCACTGGAGCGCTCAACGCGTTAATAACTCAATTCCAATATTCGCAAACAGTTTTGTGTGAAAAAGAAATGTCCACATACAATCGCGCCAGAATTAATATCATGCTAAGGGGGGAAACCGACACTCAAATTGACATAATTAAGCACACCGAAAGCGGTGCCATAACTCCATTAGTGACTTCCGTTCTTTTACCGGTTGCACAACTCCTACACACCTATGAACGGATAGTGTATTAATAAAGTGAACTTTGTAGTGTTTATTTGCTTTCATTTAAAATGAAAGGGAGCACACAATAGACAGAGAGTTCGGATTGCTGGCAAGGCCGTTCAAATACAAGTGGTAAACATTTTGAATGATTGCGAATAAGCGACTGCGCGATGCTGCTGTTATCGAATTAGGTAGATATACGCTGAAGCAAAATAGAGTAAAAAAATATAATATATGTATAAGCAGCGTATTTAAATGAAACGTCACAGCAGACTGACAAACTGACAGATATAGACTGCTGTGCTTGACAAGCATGATGATAAATAACAGACAGCTCTGTGACATTGCAGTGGTCACTCTATTCACAATGGTTCACGCTATGAGCACAAGTGAAAGAGAAAGGAGACGCCGATGTTGCTGTGTCGCATGGCAACACTGCAAAACAATAGCAAGCGAAAAACAAGCACGTTCAAACGAAGTGGCAAAGCTATTAGTCTAATAACAGTTTAAAATTGACTGAACAGCAGGTATCCAGCTCGTAGCCCACTTAAACACAGCGTAGCCCTGTTTGTGTTTGCTTACCTTTTGTAGATAGTACGCCACTCTATGGCTGATTGGGGCAGGTGGAATTGCCAGCACTCGCAAGTCGATTTTACGCCTATGTAAAGCCCTGTTTTTGTTTTTAAACCTATCATTGATTTTCTATAAATTTCATGTCTCTTTTTCAAACGACTGACTGAGTGACGCGTAGAAAGTGCTTATTTATTTTTTCTGTTAGAGATGAGTACGTGTCAGTTTTTCATCTAACACATAGGTATATGCACTAAATGTTACCGTATAGTTATTTCAAGAACCTCCCGCTTTTATCACTATAAGACTTTGCTGTCAATATTGAACTAAGATACATATTGAACAGGTCACTAAACATTTTTTCCTATTTTCTATTTGATATATTATTTTAAAATAATCAGAATATGCGAATTTAATTCGTCTTTCGTGTTTGGTAAAAATATAATCAATAATTATTTTAATTTTGCCGGTTTTTCCCAAAGAAACCTTAAACCTTACTATTTGAAATTTCTATTGACATGAGCACGTTTTAGGTCGTATGTGTTCGTGTCACGACATTAAGCACGACGCCCGTTCAACTCTATTTGCAGCCACTGTTAGCCGCCCCAATGCCTTCGCATAACGGTGAAGGCAATGCTCGTGCCGCACTGCTTCGTACTTGACTAGGTCAACGCCATGTCGCCAACGTCGTCATGGATGGCATTGCGCTGACACTAATACAATCAAATCATTGGCTTGTTTACCTGCATACCTGGCTGCCAGCCTACCAGGTTGTGATTGGGTGGGCGTACAGTTGTTGCGATTGTTAATTGATATTGCTGGCACAATAAACTGATTTGAAATCAACAAAAAAGCATCATTGAATATGAGTTCAAGAAAAGACAAGTGCCATTAAACAAAGCAGCCGAAATAAATATTAATATATCTATAATATTAATCCAATGCTTTTGACACTAATTGGGGCATTAAGTGTTTATGTGGAAGTAGATAAGACAAACTAGGCGTGAATATTTAATCGATTCAAGGCGCCGTAACTCTAGACGTTATCAGTGCTTATGGCGATTAAATTTGATTTAAACGCGTTTGCTATATAGCCTTTAGATACTAAAAATACCAACAATTATGAACAACTTATTTATTAATGTTTTATTGATTGCGATTGAAGAACTTTTCAATTGGTTTAATTGCTGAATGCCAGCCGCTGACTTGTGATTGCATATGTATGTATATTCTCTTACGAGAGCAGCACTTACATACATGTGCTCACGACTCTCTTAAGCCAATTGAACACGCCTAGTCAACAACAAACTAGGTATTTAGTTTAGGGTTACACGATTACACGGAGTAGACATCATCGATAAAAACGTGACTTACCGCAAGAAAGAAAATGAAGAAGGTTGAGCGTCGTGAAATCAAATCAATTTGCAAACAAATTATACGTAAACATACAAACATATGTGCATGCATGCATATCTCAATTTTAGCGAAAGATCCAGCGATCTATGAGAAAGTGAAGAGCTGGCTAACGGCAACAATATGTGTGTGTGTTGTGTGCTGCCAAGTTACAAAGCAAAAAACTCCAAACAATTTATTAGTCTTATTGGCGCATTTTACTTATTCATAAATGTTTAATTACACAAAATTACAAACGATGAGATTTTTAACGCAACGCACACAAACTCTTATCAGTGGTATGCAAATGTGTGTATGTGTATGTGTTAGTAAGCAAGTCACAGAGGGCCTTCTCAACACTAAATTTGCATTAGGTATGTTGGCCATTAATTTATCTCTTTGTTTGTTGGAGTTTTGCTTATTTCCCCAAAAATTACGTAAATGTACACACAGACACACATGCACATGCACATGTGTATGTCTGTTTCCCGCAAACCAAGGGACTTGAATTTAATTTTTTATCAGCATTTCAATGACGTTGCCTTTTATAGCAGCGCGCTGCATTCACTCTCTTCATCGCAGCGCTTGCTGACTGCGCTCTCTATGCTGTGCAGACCAGACGCAGGCAAGAGCTTCGTGCAACTCTGCGCTCATATGTCGACTATTGTGAATGAAACGTGCATATACCGCATAAATTAGTGCAATTTTTAAGTTTATTTACTTGCATCGCTGCGAGCCAAATACTTTTTTAAGAAGGCAGATAAAAAAAGCGAAAGTGTCGCACATTACACGCGTATGCATAAATTATAAAATCGACTACAAATAAAGGCACTTGCGCGCTATTAATTATGCAATAAAAGCAACTTCTCGTTTGCATTTAGCTTGAGGAGCGATGTGCTCTAATTTTCGTTTTTGGAATAAGTGGCTCATATCTTAAGCAGCATGTTTAATAAGTTTATGGAATAAACTATGTGCCTTGCCTTGACTAAAGAAGTGCGTACCGCCCTGGTGAACAATTTTTTGACGTCAGAACAGTCGAATAAGGCGCCAATGCCGATTCGCTTGTTCTCGTTGTTGTTGACACGCTGATGCGAAGCAAAATAAGAATTAAAAATAGTTTAGAAGCGCCGACAAGTTGGACTGATGGGGGATGTACATATATCCGCGTGTACCGTCGCTTCCGAGCAATCAAAAAAAATAGAAACGAAAATCAATAATACAATTGGAGTCCCATTTCGGCTCGCTTCTAATCGGGAAACTATCAAAATGTTGCCAAATTTCCGTAAATATTTTTTTTAACATTTTTGTTTTTTTCTACTTTGCAGGTAGAAGCGGGTGATGTTATATTGAAGGTCAATGGCATCGATGTGCATCGTCACACCACAAAAGAAGGTAAGTGAAGTTTTATCTATAGCTATCTATTTTATTAATCTTAAATTTAATTTCAGTGCTTAAATGTTTGCGCCTATCGGAGAACTTAGTAACCTTGGAACTGAAACGAGGCAAGTGACAAGCACAAAAATAGCTCCACAATTATTTCACATCTTTTTTTTGACAGATCCCAAGCTCAAGGCGCGCATTAAAGAACAGTTGGCTAATACGCAGAGTCCGCATTACGTGGACATTGAATCTCCCGTCAATATCTACGATTACAGTAGCAGCCCGAACGCTGCCTCTCCCAAGCATCAGCGCCAGCATCAGAAGGGCGGAACCACGCCCACCAATTCTGGTTCGCCAGCGTTGCGTTATAAGTCGCCTACGCATTTGCCATCGCTACGTCAGAATTCGCCAACTACAACAGCGATAACGTCAATTGCCGCAGCGTCCACTACAACCTCAATTCACACGCACAGCCGCAACTCTTCCGCCAGCTCGACCAAGATTCAAATGGTGGAATCCACCACAATTACGACGAGCATTAGCAACAGTAACATTGCCACATCACCCACTGCAGCTGTCAGCGGCGCTACCTCGCCCACATTTCGCCCTTCACGCATTCCACAGGCTCTGAAAGCCGCCGCCCAAAAGCCAGTGCCACAAGTGCAGTCGCCGCAGCATAAGCGACCACGTCCCTCCCAAATACCAACGAAAGCAGCTAACGGCAACGGCTTGCAGCCGCTACAGCACTCGAACAGTTACAGCGGGAGTCCAGCCGTTTCCCGGCAACGCCACACGGAACGCGAGCCAGAGCCGGAACCGAATTCGGCACCGCCGCAGCCGGCAAAGGCGCCACGCTTTGAGGCTTATATGATGACCGGTGATTTAATATTGAATCTATCAAGAACTCCCCAATCCAGCAATTTGCTAACGGCTCAAGCCAAGAAGGTAATGCCCAAGGGCAAACCAGAATTTATCCCGGCAAATGGTTCTCGACATAAAGCCCTCCTCATCCACATCTAATAACATTTTGCATTTGTTTTTAGGTGGACAGTCTGCGGGATTTTCCGAAACGCAATCTGGCGAATGCACGTGCCAATGGCGCCTTAGCACCGCGTGCCTCCGGCGAGTCTTCGCCCACATCTTCTTCATCGGTGGATTCGCCAACTAATACGGCTAGCTCGGATTCCATTAAGCGCGAGGCTAGGCTTCAGCGGGGCCAGCAGCAACAGCAGCAGCAACAACAACAACAACAACAGCAGCAGCAGCAACGCGACAGCATCAACAACAGCTACAATCGTCGCGATTCGCTGACCAACGACACTTTGTTAATGTGCGAGGAACTGGAGTGCGATGAGGATGCCACTACGGACTATGGGGACAATAAACGCCAGCAGCAACGTCAGCAGCAGCAGCCACAACAACAGCGCTATCGACAGCAGCAGCAACAGCAACAACAACAACAACAGCGCTATGAGTACTACCAAAACGAAGATGAGCTGGAGGCGGATCAGGATGAACGCGAAGAAGATCAAACACATTACGACATTACAAACATCGAAACGTACCAGAGTGGTTTGGGTCGCGGTGACGAGGACGACAGCGATCGCCAGTGTTTGGTTGATGAAGATGATGATGATGATTATGATGAGGAGGATAACGATGCCGGCGATGAGGAATACTCTACAAATTCACTAGGCTCCGGTTCCGGTTCAACCAAGCAGCGTATGCGTATGCTCAAACAGCGTAGCGTGATGCGGCAACAACAGCAACAGCGTAATCGCGATGCCGTTGATTGTGCTGCACGTGTGACCGCCGGCTATTCCGCATCCACATCCAACTCATCTGGCACGGTTAAAAGCGAGGCGGTTTTGGGCCTGGGTCAGGATGAGACCTCCTTCTCAGTACCAACATCGCCAATTTCGCTGTCGGCGCCTCTAATTGATAAGGAGACGGCCAGCTCGGTGCCCACCAGCCCGGAGCCCAGCTCCCTGGCGGCCGAGTCGAATAATGCTGCCGCTGGCGTTGGGGCCGTTGTGGTGCGTCGCCACAATGGTCACGTGGTGCGCAAGTGTGACGCTGCAGGCTTTCGCACCAGCAAGTCTGAGGATCATCTGCAGCAGGTACAGCGCGAGGGCATTGCGGCTGTGATACCAATCGATATTGATGAGGATGTGAATAGCTCATTAAATACGCTGCTGGATACGCGTCACGATTCAGAAGATTCGCAGGTAAGCGTTGGATTAATGGACCTTGAGTTAGCCCAAGCTAAAAATTGTAAATAGCTATAGGGAGGCCTTATATGCAGGCCTAAATATAGCCGAAAATACAACATATAGACAGAGATAGCTGAGAACTTCCAGCCCCAGAACACGCACAGTGTCATATTGCCTGTAGTATATACTCTTTTAAAGTGATTTTGTAGTGTAATGACTGTTGTGTATAGTTGCTATGGTTGCTATGGTTGGTTTCCTTAATATACTTGGAAATAATTGATCTAACCACGTAGTACTGTTCGAATCTATCATAATATATTTAGTATATACAATCCGCTGTATTTTGCATACACAGTAATCCATTATACAAAATGTTCTCTATAACTGTGCAGTCACTTTACTTACTCTCGTTACTTGTCACTCTTTACTATTTACTCGTTACTCGTTACGATTTACTTTCCAACTCCACAAAAATTAACAACTTCTATCTTGTTTATCTTACTCTTACTTGTGTTTCTTCTTTCTTTCCTTCCTTTCGTTTTCTCTGTTGATTCGTATTTTACCTAAACTTTTTCTATAAATGCTCAAATTCTTGAAAAAAAAAAAAAATTACGCGCTTTCCAGTCAACGACAACATCAACAACTGCATCAACGATTAAGAACAACTCGTCGGCGCTGAACAACAACGAAAGTGAGCCGTGCAACAACAATAACAATAACAATGAGAGCAACGAATTGTCACCAACACCGACAACAACAACAACAACAACAACAGCTACAACAAGCAGCGGCTGCAGCAACAAATTAAACTATATTTTGCTCAAAAAGGTTGCCATTTATTAAGCATGGCATGCTCTGAATTAATGTGACTTAATGCGTTTATCATTTGCAAATTTTTTATGTTTTGTTGAATGCACTTGTGCGAAACGTTTGTATGTAGACAAAACTAACGCTTACCGACACACAGATACTCTTTCACATACACACAAACGGCTACACTTGGCAATTATTGAGGGTCCTCTCAGATTGGGCAACGGCATATGGAAATTAAACAAATCGACTATAATATGCATAAACTATATACATTTTTAGTTTAAAGAAGCATACCAATTGACCTCTTACTAATCAGTGCTCTTTCAATGCAGGCATCGAATCGCGACCGCATCGTTTGGACTTACAATGCGCCACTGCAGCCGCATCAGTTGCAGCAGTTGCAGCAGCAACAACAACAGCAGCAGCAACAACAACAACAGCAGCAGCAGCAGCAATACTACGGTCAGCAATCGCATTCAAATTCACATTCAAGCTCCATTAGCTCATCGCCACAGCATTCGGCAGCCGGCAGTCCGGCCTCGCCCACGTCGGTGTCCTCGTCCGTTATGTCCTCGTCAGGCTCGAAAAGCGCACAACAGCAGCTACAGCAAAATCAGCTACAGCAACAGCAGCAGCGGGAACAGCCATCTGTTTTTGTGCCGGGTCTGTTGGGCTGCCCTCATGGTGGTGGTGCTAATGGTGCTAATGGTGGTGGTGGTTTTGGCAACGATCAGAGCGTCTCAGAGGCCATTTCAAATATCTCTAGTCCCGACTATCAAGACGACGATAACTTATTAAGTTCTCGCGATATTTTAGGCGGCATGGTACTTAGCGATCCCAGCGACTCGGACTCCACCATACTCGTCTCGGACGCGGCAGCCCAGCAGCGTCAGCAACAGCAGCAGCTGAAGCAACAGTTGCGCGCCCAGCAACAGCAGCGGGAACGTGAACGTGATCCGTCCGAGCACAAGCTGGTCATTCAGGTGCGCGGCATGGATAATAGCAACACCAGCAGCGCAACACGTTCTGAAGAGGATGGCACCACACTAACAGAGGAGCCGCTTACAGCGATTGGGGCGCGTGATGGCTCGCCGCCCGTTTCGGATGATGGCAGCGATGTCGAGTCACTGCACTCGTATCACTACTCGCCCAAAGCCGTGGACATGCCCTCGGCCATACGCCTGGCCAAAAGACTGTATGGTCTCGATGGTTTCAAGAAGAGCGACGTGTCGCGGCATCTTAGCAAAAAGTGAGTTGCTCTTTTGATATTCATTTGGGGGCCAAACGTAATGTCCATTCTGTTTGCAGCAACGACTTTAGCCGCGCTGTAGCTGATGAGTATTTGAAGCATTTCAATTTTGAAAAGAAATCTTTGGATCTGGCGCTGCGTGAATTTCTGCAACAATTCTCGCTGTCTGGCGAGACCCAGGAGCGTGAACGCGTGCTGGTACATTTCTCGAAACGTTTCCTGGACTGCAATCCCGGCACATTTAACTCACAGGATGCAGTGCACACTCTGACATGCGCCATTATGCTGCTCAACACAGATCTGCATGGGCAAAACATGAATCGCAAGATGAGCTGTGCCGAATTCGTTGACAATTTGGCCGATCTCAACGATGGCGAAAACTTTCCAAAGGATGTGCTCAAGTATTTGTATCAGGCCATCAAAACCAAACCACTGGAATGGGCTCTGTAAGCAAATGAATCAATTATTTAGCAGCTTATCCCAATTAAAGCTTCGCTCTGCTTTTAGCGATGATGAGACCGGGGAGCAGCAGCAACAGCAGCGCACCAATAACAGTACCGCACTGACTGGCGTCAGTCAGAATCCTTTCCTGGATGCACCTGAATCGGCCACGGCGGTGGAGTACAAAAAGGGCTATGTGATGCGCAAATGCTGCTACGATACTAGTTTCAAGAAGAGTGCGTTTACAATTAAATCCCAATCTAAAAAATATCAAGTTAAATTTGATTTTTTTAATAGCACCGTTTGGCAAACGCTCTTGGAAAATGTTTTTTATAACGCTGCGCGATCTTGTTTTATATCTGCACAAGGACGAGCACGGCTTTCGCAAAAGCCAAGTAAGTTGACAGTGGGTGTAGTCAGTTTCATCTCAACTTAACCCTTTCGTCCTTTTCCTTTCCAGATGTCCGACAATTTGCATAATGCGATACGCATACATCACGCACTGGCCACCATGGCCAACGACTACACTAAAAAGCAACATGTGTTCCGGCTGCAAACAGCCGATCAGGCCGAGTATCTGTTTCAGACCAGCGACTCAAAGGAGCTGCACTCCTGGGTAGAGACCATTAACTATGTGTGCGCAGCGTTTTCGGCGCCGCCTCTAGAAGGCGGCGTGGGTAGTCAAAAGCGTTTCCAGCGTCCGCTGTTGCCCAGTGCACAAACAAAACTGTTGATGGTGGGTGTAACGTTTCTACTTTATATATTTATTTAATTATTCGTCAATTATAAAATATCCAGAAGGAACAGCTTGACTCGCATGAGTTACAAGTGACCCAATTAAAGCATGAACTGAAGGAGCATCAAAAGGCGCCCGTGCCCAGCAAAGGTTTACCGCTTCAGAACCACAAGGAGAAGGAGGCGTACTTGCAATATGAGGTGAGTCCTGACGGGTACAAGTTTAGCCTAGTTATCAACTAATGTATTTATTTATCAGCTCCGTCGCTACGAGGCTTATGTTAACATTTTAACCGCCAAACTGCTCACCGATCAGCAGCCATTGGAGCTGCAATGTCAGCAGGCAGCAGCGCCAACGCTTGAGGAGGACGCGGACACATTCCCTGTGGGCACAGGCAGCATGCCAACAACGCCGCAAAGTATTAATACTCAACAGCAGCCGCAGCAGTCAACCAACAGCAGGTATAGTCAACAACAGCGCGCCAGGAACTCCTCCTCTAGCGGCAATGCCCAGCAGGACATTGGCTGACGCGTAATGGGAGTTTTCTCAGCTTGTGTGGTTTAATGCCCTTTTTTAATAAGTTATATTCTTGTTTATTTTGTGTGTTTTTTATTTTACTTGTTTTCTGTGTTGTTACTCTCTTCAGCTTGTGTTGCTTTGTTAATTGTTGTGTTTGTCGGCTAGTCCTCTAACTAACTCAACAAACATTTATGTAAATACAAACCGTCCTATGTTTTAAAAGTTTTGTTGTTACGCTTTGCACTATTCGTGTGTCCAAGGCGTATGACCCTATCAATATTATAATAATCAGACCATGCAGAAAGCTTTAATCACAAATTATATCAAAACAAAAGCCTAACAATAATTAATTATATTCTAAATTGATGCGCGTAGGCATTTAAAACTGTAAGAAGCCTTATCTAATTAGTTAATATACCAATTTGTTTGCTTTTGTATTAAAGTTTGTTTTTTAAAGCCACACAATTTAATGTGAAAACTCGTGAACTTTATTAGGAGTATAAGAAAGAAAAGTTTCGGCTAGTATAATAGATAACTATAACAGAAATAAGATTTTGTAGCACTCGTAGCTAACAAAAGTTTTTGGCGTTCTTCAAAAATTTTAGATGAAAAAGAAATAAAACCAAAAAAAAACACTAATGTGGTTCAAATGTAGCAACGTTTACTGTTTATACCTTGCCTAAACGCATTCTAAATATACATCTAAATCGGTAAAGTCGTTTATAAAGCGAATACATTTTAATGTAACTAGTTGTAGAATGACAATTCAATTAATTTAAATAGAGCTCTTTGAGACGTATGCGCGCGCACACACACAAACACTCACACAGACACACTTACACCCTAATGTTGCTGTTTGAAAAAAAATGTAATTTTGGCCTAGCTGTTAGACAAACATAATTCACACACTCTCATATACATACACAACTACTGATTTATACTATATACATATAAGAGTCATGCTAACCATGTGGACAACTCATATGCAAATGCTGCTTGTTTTCAGCATATTCCCTGTTCTGTTGCGTTATGTTTCATATCAAGCAAGCAAAATGGCAAAAACCAAAAAGAAGAATTCTTAAATTTTTACAGATGGTTCGATGGCACCTGCTGTTGTCTGGCGCCCTGGCGGCAATTGCTCTCCTATTTCAAAAGCTAAATATAAGAATGCAATTTTTGTCACATTTTTTGATTAGCGAAGAACAACAACAAAACCCACAGCAGCAATCACAAGCAACAATTGCACATTGGAGCCAACAACAACAAGAACAACAATAAAACAACTCCAGCAAAAACTGCAAGAACAAGCAATCTATAGAGATTCAGATCTTAATAATGGCTCGCCCCAAATGTGAGCAAGTCAAATGCAAAATTTAAATGTTTTAACATTATTGTAAACTGTCCAGTTTGTATAGCTTGGCTGTATATATACATATATATATATATATCATATATATTATCTGATTATATTTCTGTTTATTTCTATTTGAACTATGCATATATTTAACTTTTTTTAAACTTGTATATAATTTGTATTAATATCAAATTTGATTTTCACTTGCAGAAAAGAGAAGAAAAAGAAATAATAACGCATTTTCGTTTTGCTATTGATTTTCATCATTTAACTATACACAAAAAACACTTTGGCAATTGGTAAGTGCCGCAACCATTAAAATAAAATAGAAAAAGTATTCAAAATTCTTTAATTTATGCTTATTTCTCTGTTTAATGCAGCCAATGTCTATGATAAAATACTCCAATTGCCACAACACAAAACACCACACACACAACTCGCACACCAATGCATCACTCACATGGAGGGGGACTAGATGATGACTAGATGACGATGAGCAAGGGATTGGGGGAGGGGGGATTAGAGACTAACTAAAAAAACACTCGCGCTTTGCGGCTGTGCCGTGCGGCGCCCAAAACAGTCTGCCAATAATACAGAATTTATGTACATTTATTAAGCTACATAAAACATGATAATGACTTTTTGTAATCGCAAGTTGTTAAGGGTCTTTGGATCCTATACACAAAACGCTCGTTCAACAGAGTACTAAAAAGATCGAAAAAACATTTACAGCCCAATTATTTGGCCTTATTACATGAAATTTAACCCACGTCGGGCATATAATCTAATATATAGCATATTAACTATATATCGCATAATGATTGCAGGCACTTTTGCTCAGAGCTTAACCCTGACAGTCAAGTGCTAACCCCTAGTTTTCACATAAATTGTTAATTGAAGTCTTAAAGAAGCCGCTAGCGCTCCTAACATTACCTTTGTTCTATTATTTGGCAATGGACTCTGCTGAACGGCATTTTGTGCTGTACCCCGTATACACTGCTTATTCACATCAAGAATACTTATTATTTAAAAAAAAAAAAAAAAACAAAAGAAACTTACATCATTACCTATGCTATCATTATAAATGATAAAAATAAATTATTAAAACACTTTCTCTATGCAATAACCTCAATAACAACAACAGCGAATTATGTCGGAAGGGTTATACATTATCATATATATAATTTGCTCGATTGCGATAAGTATGTTTCTCCAATATTTTGTACGGTTGCAAATACATATATAAATATATTTATTTATACGACAACAATTGGTTGATTACGCGACAAGTCCACGTAGTTAGAATATGAAATTAAAAGAATCGAGAATGAATCACACATAAGAATTAAAAATAAAACGAAATACAATAACTTTGACTACATACGTATGTGTATTTTTTAATATATATTATATTGTGTAATTATGTAAATGTTAACTGTATAACAATTGTTTATAATTATTTTTAACAATTCTATTGAAACGGCAATAAATTGAAATATGAAATAAAATATATGAAAAAATGAATACCCATAACTAATGCTGCTTATGAAGAATATGTATATATTTTATTTAATCACTGCGCAGAAACAAACCCCATTTGTAACCCAAATTTGTAGCAAGTGAAAAAATTGTTTTCGTTAAATGAAGGCGCTTGATGAGACAATTAAGTGCTAATTATATAGATATACATATTATTTAGACATACAAGAACGCATGGTTAAGTGAACAACCATTTACAAAAAAAGATTTATTAAAAACTTAAAAAAAACTGCGCCAAATTGGTTTGGTTTTTACTCGGTTTTCAATGTAAAGGATGTGTCCGTCTCTTGCAGCATGTTTTCCAGACGCAAGCCCAACTGCCGTCGCTGCATGTCAACCTTCAGCACGGAGGCAATTATGCGATCCCCAATGCTAAGATCACAATTATTCATATGGCTTTTGTGTATGAGACCATCACGTTCCACACCAATGTCCACGAAGGCGCCAAAGTGCGTTACATTGGTGACTGCGCCTAGTGAAGAGTTAAAGCAGCAAAGAGTTATTATTTGTAAGTTATATTCTTTTTTATTTTGGATGTAATAACTCACCTGTGACCACATCACCGATGCTGAGCTCATCCAGACGGGTAAGACCCTGCTTGAATAACGGCCGTTTGTCCAGATCGGCGCGGTAATCCTGCAGCAGCTCGCGCTGAAGGGCAAACAGCACAAACTTTAACTGAAAGCAGCAAGCGGAATTAGAGGACGATCATTAATGGTATAGGTACAACTATGCTTACCCGTTCCATGTGCAGCTTGTGCTGCTCGGCCAGCTGTTCGAGATTGTGCTGCGACTTGCTGAACTCCTTGATGCGCTGCATAAAGCTAGCCTTGCCAATGTCCGAGAGTTTTAACTCACATTCCTGTATAATGCTGTAAGACCAACGAAATTTTTATAGTTTTCAATTTCGTACATGTTGAATAGAGGAACATTTTCAATTTCTTGATAAATATGTCGCCCAAAATGAAGGTCAGTGAGCTCAAGAAGCTATACGTAGAGCGTTGGAGTTATCCGCCGGCACAGAAGTTGCCCAAGATTCGTTTTATTGCTTGTGGCAAAAATCCCAATTATGGGATCCCGAAGACTAATATGCCGTGCTGGAAGTCTCCAATGGGCATGACAGCGGATGCACGTTACGGCCCCTGTTGGGATTATCCACCAGAACGTTACAGGCGTCGTCCATTGCCGCCGCCATGTCGCGGTGCCACTATTCCGGCTAACTTCCTTATGCCAAGTTTTGATCACTGTCAGACTATTTACACACGTTGCGATTACCGCCTGGAGCAGTGTGTGCATCAGCAGATACTGCTCATTGAGCAACTATTTGCGAATCTAGAGGGTCAGCTGGCAGATGCCAAGACGCTGCAAATAGAGATGGCCAAACAAATGCGCTATCAATCCATACGCCGTCGCCTACTGATTGGATCTGCTTGTGGCATAAAGATCTATCCGGAGTACCTAAGCCAGATGGCAGAAACACGCGCGCTTTGCGAATTTCAAAAGGCCCATAATGCTATCAAACAATCCAAGTAAACTATGTTATACATTCAAAATGCCATTAGCCCTTCTTTGCATCTTGCAGCGCTGAGCTGGCTGCTGCTGTTTTGGTCATACGTGACGCCATGCCTGAGCTGCGGAAGCGTTTGGACAAGCTGGACCGCACGGTGGACAGTCCGTATCTTATAAATCTGGAAACGGTGCTGCAAACTATACAAGATCTCTACGATTACTTTTTTGAGGTGGTGCGCAAGTACAAGACTTGGGCACAGCTAATCGATGCCGCCCAAGAGCACTCCATCGAAGACTATTTGGCCCTGCTGCGCAGTGAACGCGACTTCGAGAGCTTTAAACGCGCTGGTACCGAACACTGCACCTGCAAGCGTTGCCGAAACAAAAATCCACTGGAGCCGTATCTGCCCTGCTGGTGTCAGGGATGCGATCGTCGCAATAAAGATGTTAAGCTGGTGCTGCGTCACTCAGAAATTAAGGCTCAACTGGATTCGAGCGATAGTGGACAAATGGAGAAGCAAAGTGACACCTCAGTACTGCAGGCCGAGTTAGACAAGTTGAATGAGGATTTAAGTTAGTTTTAAAAATTTGGAAATGTGCCGAAATTACGCATTTTCCTTTCTTTTTTTCTGGCGAAATAAAATATATTTTGTGTAACTTACGCTTCCGCCAATTTGTAGCTTTCCGGATGCACCCAGGTGCAGTCGAGCGGATTAGTTATCTTTCCACCTACACTAAGCGGTTCAATGCGAACGAAACCGGCGCATTGAACAAAAGTCTTCTCTCCTATGCTGCGTACAGCGAGTAGATCCTTGCGCGACTGAAACGGACCCTTTTGGTTGCGATATTCAATGATTTTCTCGGCTTTCTTCTCAGAGAGACCAGCAATGTGTCTGCATTATAAAATTATTGCTATACATGTAGATTATTGGGGTCTATGTTACCTACTTTAGCACACTGAGGCTGGCTGTGTTTAGATCCACGCCCACATAGCTCACACACTCGGAGACAACATCGTTCAGTGTTTCTGTAAGCGTTTTCTCGTTCACGTCGTGCTGATACATACCAACGCCCAAGTGGCGTGGCTCAATCTTCACGTACTCACTGAGCGGATCATTCAGGCGACGTGCAATGGACACTAAAAAGATTTTAGATTATGATTTGGTCTTTCAAGTGGTTGACATTTTGTGCACTACAAACCTGCGCTAATTTCATTCATATCCATCTTGGGAAACTCTTTGCTAGCCACATCGCTGCAAGAGTAAATGGAGGCGCCATTCTCGTTTACAATACTATAGCGAATGCTGCGACTGTCCAAAATGCCTGCCTGGAACAGAGATGTCAGCCACATCTCTGTGTCACGGCAGGCAGTGCCGTTTCCTAGAGCAATGACGCCACAACTATAATATATCAAAAGACAATTTAATAATAAATGACATAATTATACGAAGTAATCGAATTACTTGTATTTGCTTAGAAGCTGTACCAGCTTTTTTTCGGCTTCCGTTCGATTGGCATGTCGTCCATGCGGGTAAACGACTCCTGTTTCCAGCACATCGGCTGTCTCTGATATAAGCGCCAATTTGCAGCCATTTATGTAGCCTGGATCAATGCCCAATATCCGTTCACCTTTCAACGGCGACATCAACAACAGTTGCTTTAAATTTTTCCCAAAAACTTCAATGGCTGCCCGGGTAGCCTTTTCCTTAAGTTCGGCCCGCACCTGACGGCAGAGCAGCGGTTGCACTAGCAAGAGGTTTTCTTATTACAATTGTTGCTTGATGTTGTTCTGTAGCTTACATTTCTTTGTGTAGCACTCTTCCAGTGCACGAGTGAATACCTCCTTACGCAAAGGATACTGTAGACCTTCGGACATGTACTCTTGCGATATAAAACGCATGAGCTCATTCTTTAAATAATCGCTAGTCTCCACTTTTACTGAGAGGAATTTATGTTTTTCGCCTCGATTAATGGCCAGGGTTTGATGTGGCTTAATTGTCTTTATATCGCATTGAAAATTAAAATAGTTCTCGAATTTGGAACTGTCCAGCTTCTTGTCCGCAATGCCACTAGAAGCAGGTTTACTGCTAGCCGCCGCCTTTGAGGCTGTCGTCTTTTTAGCTTTGCTGCACTTGAGCACAATACGCTGCACGTTTTGTCTGGAAATTAAAAATTAAGATTTTAGCGGGTATGTAGATATGTCCAGCTCTTGTTCTGTTCTTACAGCCGACGTAGTTCCTCCAGAATCCTTGTGTTCTTGCTTATGTTGTGTATAATAATGTTGCATATTCCCGCCATTACCAGCTCTTCTGTGGCCAAGTCCTTGTTGGTCGGGTCAACAACCGAGAACAGCTGCACTTTTGGCGCTGTTCCAAACAGTAAGGCATCAGCATAATGTTGTAGTCCCAAAGCCTTGGCACGCTCTGCCAAGGTGCCCTTGCTAGCCGGTTTATAAGGTGCATACAAAAATTCAAGTTCTTCATTGGTCTTAGCGCACAGCAGCTCCTCACGTATTTCAGTATTGATCACATTCTCGCGCTCTAGCTGATTGACGATGTTCTCTGCCTTCTTCCGCAGATCCACAATCTCAGTGTAAGTGTTTCGTATGTCACGCAATCGATCTGGTGTTATATGATCCACCAAATCTCGTCGATAGCTAACAATGGACACATAAATACCATGATATAAATATCAAGAAATACTATTTTTTAAATATACCGGCATATAAATGGAATGGTATTCTCATTCTCGAAAAGCTGAACAATGTTGCGTGCTGCTGTGGGTTGGATTTGTTCTGTCTCGGCTAAGAGTTCATGTATGTTCCAAACTTTGCGTCGCTCCCAGAATGAGCTGCGACCTGTAGAGGTACTAGAAGTTACTGGAGTTAGGCTTCGTGCGCCTCCATCTAGCTCTGATGCTATTGATAAAGGGTGTTCGACGGCTGCTTCGTTCACATCGTTGCTTTGATTGGGAATTGCATTTTCTTTGTCCTTTTTCGCGCGCTTTTTCTTTGCAGGTGCGTCGTCTTTGCAAACACTGCTTGCGGGTTCGGTTTTACGTTTTCTTGTATCCCTAATGTTGATATAAATTTGTAATTTATATTGTTTATCAAATGTTGTTTAAATATGCAAAGGCTTACGAGCCAGATGCTACTACTGCTGCTGCCCGATCTATAAAACGACGTCGTGTCTCTGTTGGCCTGTATTCATCGTTCTCTTCAGCTCCAGCGGGATCATCTTCCGAGTCGGATATCTCAACAATTACCGATTTTTTAGCTGCCAGACGGCGCGGTCTTGAAGACATGTTAGCTGGTCATAGAAAGAAATCAACAAGCGAGTTAGTTTTGTTGCTGAGCACATTTGCAGTTATCGTTACACGAAATACCCATGTGCTCAAGTATTAGACGGTATTTGATTGCTAACATTGGCATCGATACCATTCTTTTGCAAATTTGCTGTTATGAATATAGATGTACTCATATTTAAACAGTTGCGCGTTACAGATGTCTGGCCGACAACAGTTTCATGCATATCCGTTAAGTTGGTGTGGGAAGTTTACATATTTAAGGAATTCAATATATTTTATTAGGGACACATGGATATCATTAAGTAAGTACAACATTGTTGTTGATCTGGGTCCGCTGCAAAATGCCTACAATATATAAAATACAACTTGTCAATAAGAAGGCGGGTCATTATGTGGGCATTTACTAAATTATTATCCACTAAAGCTTAGATAAATCGCAATATTTAAAATCTCAATTCGCGTCATCCAAGTGCTGCGAAAGGAGCAATCGGTGATTTGGAGCATGGAGAATGTGTTGACGGTCACGTTTTAGATACTCAGATACTTCAGCACAACGTCACTTCTTAATACAGAAAAGTAACAAGTGTGAAAACTGTCACGCGGCGCAGAAAATGTAATTGATGTAGAGCGTATTTTCGACATTACTTTTTAAGACTTAGAGCCGCAAACATTTCTAAACGGAAAATTTAAATTTGTGTTTTAACATAATTTGCTTTGTAAAAAAATAATTTGACCGGTGTAAACTCTTGGACGCTGCGGCATGGCAAACCAAGTGAATTGGGCTGATGCTAATCTAGTCAAAAGTCTTAACGAACAGAATCGTTATATTTATGACATGGAGAATGACATTCAGGAAATGCAACAATATTACGAAAATGAGGTGGAGCAGTCCAAGTACAATGAAGAAGTCCTGAAGGTAAGTCAGCATTTCTGGGTGTTTTGTTATCGAGAGCTAACATCAATTGCTTTCAGTGTCGCTGCAATGAGCTCCAACAACAAGTGCAGACCCTCCAGCCGGCGCTGCAGCGTGCCGACCAGATGCAAACGGAGATCGATGTTTTACGCAATGAGCTGCGAAAACGTGACTTGGCTTTAAATGCCTACGATTGCCAGTACCAGCAGCTAATGGTAAGCATTGTTAATCAGAGGGATATTCGATTTTTTTGTCATTGTGCCTCTGTATCCTTCCCAAGTATAAAACTAAAATGTTCAAGAAATCTGGGTATCGTTTCCTAGATGAACTGATAGAAAGTTGCAGTGATAGTTGTTTCAAGAACACCGGATTAGAGGATGAAGGCGATGTGACATGTTAACGCCGTGTCCCTTCTGTAGTTGAATTAGAAAAAAAAAATTATAAGTGCATAAAATATATAAGTTTTAAAAGCATAAAGGGGATGAGAGGAAAGTCGTTAGGGTTCGTCTGGATTGTTGACGGCTTAAGCACATGTATATTTCTCCCTGTCACTTTTCCAAGCCCTGGCATTCAGTTTCAATCCACAACTACTTATAATGATTTTCCTCTCTTATACCTTGTTTTATATTTCACACACATTATAGACCGTCGTCTGTGAAATCAACCAAAAGTATGGAAATCACCGCGGTGACAGTCCCTCATTTAATATTCCAGACTTTCCAGATGTTGGAGATGATCTGATCTTGTACACGAGTGCCACCATAAAACTCATCGTGAAAGACATGACCAAAGAAGAAGAAGATTGCTTCGAGCAAATCAACGAGGATAAGTACTTTGGAGGTCAGAATATCAACAATATAGAAGACTGCATACATGAGATGAATCGCCTGCGGAATTTGCTAAGGCAAAAGGATAAACAGTTAGGGAATTTGATAGAGGAGAATGTGTACATGTGGGAATCTGCTGTCGAAAGCAAAAGGCGACTCAACCAATTGAATCGGAGAGTGTGTGAACTTCATAGTGCCACAAAGTATATGGAGGAGGGTACGAGCGAGAGCATTGGATTAATACAGGATATTGACGATGCTGCCAGGGGGAACGATAACTTTATGGACAAGGTCAACATAAAAGGAGCTGAGCCTCAAGTACTCACGCATTCAAAGAAACAGCATTATTGTAAATCTACGGAATTAAAACATTTGGATAGTTAGCTTTCCAGCTACTCTTATCTTATCATGCTGCGTACATCGGATTAGAACCTTGCGCGACTGGAACGCACCTTTTTGTGTGCGATGCTCATTGATCTTGGCCTACTCGGCGAGACGGACAATATGTCTGCATGATCAAATTGTTACTTATAGATCCCAATGATCCAATCCCACATCGATCAGCTGTTCTCATTCGTTGGGCTGATACATGCCCTACACTCAAATAACGTGGCTTAATCTTCATTGGGGTGCTGTGTGCCGACAAATATTAATATTAAATCACTAGCGGTACACAAATACACGCGATCTTTGGAGCTATTGGGTCATCTTTGCAGGCACTGCTTTCATGTTTGATTCTATGTTTCTTGTCAATGCATATTGTTTATTAATTGTTATTTAAATAAACAAAATTCTTATGCCCTAGATGCTGTCGCAATTCTTAAAGCAATGTCGTGTTTCATTGTTCACCTGAACTTTAACAGAAGTCGGATAGTTAACTATTGTAGTACTATGGGCATATTTGACAGAAATTTAAAGAAATTCACAGGCGAGCAATATTGGATAAAATTCTTTTATTCAATTGCAGTTTTCGTTATACAAAACTAATGCAATAGCAGACACCGTATTAATTGGTAAAATTAGCATCGATACCAGTCATATTTGCTGTTATCGATATTAATGTACTAACAGCTGTAACAGCTTCACGCAACAGCTGGGCGGCAAAAGTTTCATGTCTGCCCATTAAGGTGGTTTGGGATATTAATCAATTAAAATAATGCAATATAGTTTATTAAGTGCTCAATTAATTTTATACATTTGCAGTTTTCGTTATACGAAAACTCATGCAATAGTCGATACCGTATTTTATTGGAAACATTGGAATCGATACCATTCTTTTGCATCTTTGCTGTTATCGATATTGATGTACTCATATATAAGAAACAGCTGCACGTAACAGTTATCTAGGCGGCAAAAGTTTCATGTCTGCCCGTTAAGTTAATGTGGGATATTTATCAATTAAAATAATGCAATATAGTTTATTAAGTGCTCAATTAAGGTGCTATAGGTTGCTATTGCGGCAGCAAGCACATTTTATCAACCGTTGCTACAGTGATGATATCAGAAACATTGGTATTTTGGCACACATTGACGCAGGTACTAAAGCGTTGCAATGATTATAAAATGTATCATTAAAATCGTATACTGTTTAATTTGTAGGCAAAACCACAACAACGGAACGCATGCTTTTCTATGCAGGGAAGACTCGATCTTTGGGTGAGGTGCATCGCGGCAATACGGTTACAGATTACCTTACACAAGAGCGCGAGCGAGGCATCACTATTTGCAGCTCAGCAGTTACATTTGCCTGGAATGGTAAGCGGTGCGTGTCCAGAAAAACAATGTTGTAACTATGCTTCTAACACGGCTTTTACTTAGTATTAATCTGCTAGACACGCCCGGACATATTGATTTCACGATGGAGGTGGAGCAGTCTCTATATGCTGTGGACGGCGTAGTTGTTGTCTTAGACGGCTCGGCTGGCGTGGAAGCTCAAACAGTTACCGTGTGGACACAGGCAGACAAGCACAGGCTGCCGCGGCTTGTTTTCGTTAATAAAATGGATCGTTCAGATGCTATTTTTGACAAATGCATTGACGATTTAAAGGCGAAGCTAGATGCTAAGCCCATTTGCACGCAGCTCCCGGCGAAGAACGTTGACGGACAGTTAGGTGAGCTCGATGGAAAGACTAAAGATAGCAATTTAATTTGTTCAAATGCAATATCTTACAGGCATATATGATGTAATTACATTGGAGCAGTTGACTTGGCAACAGAACGATTTTGGTCGAACTTATAGTATTGCTAAACTAGAATCATCTTTTGAAATTCGTGAATTGCATGAAAAACGCAATGAACTAATCGATCAGTTATCCGGAGTCGACGACGAGCTAGCTGAGGTTGTCATTAGCACTGAGAGTTTTGACAAAGTCAGCAATGAGTTAATTGTTCAAGCCCTGCGGCGCGCCACATGCCAGCAGAAGGTTGTGCCCGTGCTGCTGGGCTCTGCTTATAAAAATATTGGCATACAACGTTTAATGGATGCCGTAAATGCTTATTTGCCAACACCAAAGGAACGCAATCAGATATATAACTGTTTTGGGTAAGTACCCAATAGTTAGTTTTCAACCACCACAGTGTTACCTAATTGCAGAGATGATCTTGCGGGTAAGGTTTTTAAAATTGTCCACGACAAGCAGCGTGGACCTCTTACTCTGGTACGCATGCTGCGCGGCGAGTTGAAGCGTGGAATGCGTGTGCTCTCTTCCCGTGGACAAGCGGAGGTTATAGCGAAAATCTATGAGCCACTGGCTGATGAATACCGAGAGGTGAGCTCCGTCCGAGCAGGTGATGTGGCCATATGTGCGGGCCTTAAGGTAAGTCTTATATATATAATTGACTTACGATGGACAGCATCTTCTACAGTCAACAGTTACTGGTGATCTGCTTACATCCAGTCATACGTCCCTGAAGAATGCACAGAAACGTCTGGTTCAGAGTCGTGAGGCGGCAGCTCCACAGTATGATGAGGACGAGTTGGATGTTAACCATGAGCTGTTTTCAATTGAGCCCAAAATTCCTGATGCTGTCTACTTTTGCTCCATCGAGCCGCCCAGCTTATCAACGCAAACAGCCATGGAACAAGCGCTCAAACAACTACAGCGTGAAGATCCCAGTCTGCGGGTAAGCTACGATACAGTTACTGGGCAAACTGTGCTTGGCGGCATGGGTGAATTACACATGGACATCATCAAATCGCGTCTGCTAAGTGAGTACAAAATTGATGTTGATCTGGGTCAGCTACAAATTGCCTACAAGGAGACTATCGAAACGCCGGCCATAACAACTTTAAGTGTGGAAAAAGATATTGCGGGCAGTAAGCAAAATGTAAATATAACGCTACAACTTGCCAATAATCAGAACGAGCTGTTCAGGTATGTCCTCGCTGTGGGTCATTATGTGGGCATTCACTAAATTATTATCCTCTAAAGCTTAGATAAATCGCCAGAGAACGTTCAAAATCTCAATGCACTGCGTCCTCGCGTCCTTCAAGTGCTGCGAAAAGGAGCAATCGGTGCTTTGGAGCGGGGACCACGTGTTGGCGGTCAAGTTGTAGATACTCAAATACGTCTGCACAATGTCACTGTGGGACGGGGCACTGCCGATTCATTTGTCATGGCGGCGGCGGCACAGTGCGTGCAAAAGGTATGTCCTAATTCAATTTTGTTTTTATTACGTTTCATTTGATTTGATTGCTGCAGCTGCTGTGTATAAGCGGCACACGGCTTCTGGAGCCTATCATGGCCATGCAAATTGTGGCGCCCAATGAACGTATATCTGGGATTATAGCGGATCTCTCTAGGCGGCGAGCGCTCATAAAAGACGTAATGCCTAAGGGAGATAGGAATAAGGTAAGTTTATGCGATTAATTAATTGTAATCAGTAGTTTATCTTTTTTTAGCTTATTTTGGTGAATGCTCCCTTGGCCGAGCTTTCCGGATATTCCAGTGCACTACGAACCATTAGCTCTGGCACGGCCAGCATGACAATGCAACCCTGTGGTTTTTCGGAAATGAACGCCGCGGATGAGTCGTTAGCTGTACGCCGGGCCCAGGGATTAGATTAACATAATTCTGCACCATTTATTGTCTAGTTTTATTTAATGTAGATCACAGTAAGCTGGGTTGGGAGGCTTACAAGTTCTTAGTACATTACTAAATAGTATAGTACAAAAGAAAATGTGAAAATTATCGCACGTGGAATATTATAAAATTTGGTGATAAAATTTATGTCGTTCGTATTTTCGGTTAAACTCTTTAAACGGTCCATACATAGACATTACAAAATCAACTGAAAGTTTTCTTCTATTTAAGCTGTAAACTACCGGTGCAAGCTCTTGGACGCTGCGGCATGGCATACTCTACGCAGAAAGTGTTCTTTCATGTGCCGTTTATGAACGAGACGCTTGAATTTTATTGCCAAGACCCATGTGTCAAGCTAAAAAGTTATCCGTCTACAATCGATGATCGCTCGTGGGCAGCCAGTGACGATAAAAAGTCTCGTTTTGTGTCCGATCTTGTAGGTTGCAATACACCGTCGATCCGGCGCAAGGATGAAAGTGGCGGAAATCAAAAGCCCGGTCCGGCAGGCCAAGACTATCCACAGCAGCAGAACGGTTATGGAGGTCCAGAACAGGGACAGAACCAGCGAGGTTATGACGGCCAAGGACAGGACCAGGGCGGTGATGGAGGTCAAGGACAGGACCAGGGCGGTTATGGCGGTCAAGAACAGGACCAAGGGGGCTATGGCGGTCCAGAACAAGACGGCCGGGGACAGGGCGGATGGAGTGGTTGAGACTTAAGTCAAGGGGCGGACGGTGTGGGGCGGTCGGCGAGACTCAAAAATAGGCTTGATGGTGATCAGGGTTCGGTCTGGGTTAAGGTCAGGGAAATATGATTACTGATATCCATACCTTAAAGTCCGGGTGGTTGGTGTGGAGGGGGTCCATTCCAGGGACTGAAAGGCCGTGACGGCGCAGAATCAGGAGTGTCAAGGCCCCAGCGACTGGAGGAAGACCGAGTAATAGTCAATGCGCCTCAGAAGAGCCAGGGCAAAAACACCAGGATCTAGGCGTACTAAGCTAAGAGGTCCGCGTCGGAGTCGAAGCCCAGGACGACGAAGTTGAGATGAAGTATACGACTTAAAGGCATGTATAGATTGACAGCATCGCGATTGGTCCAGAAAAAAGGACCAAGTCGAGTCTTAACGAACAGGCCTGTTATATTTGTGACATGGAGAATGGCATTCAGGAAATGCAGGATTTGCAAACACATTGGGGAAGTCCTAAAGGTAAGCCGGCAAGTATTTGTCTTTTTTTTCACAAGCTAACAGCAACTACTTTCAGTGTCGCTGCAACAAGTGCTCACCCAATCGGGACTGCAGTGCACAGACCTTATGCAAATGAAAATCGATGTTTTATGCAACGAGTTGCGAAAACTTTACTACGCTTTTAATGCCTAAGGTTCCCAGTGCCAGCAGCTAATGATTTGATTTTTATGTGTCGATGCATGCCAAAGCATAAAACTGAGCGTTTAAGAAATCTGATAGTTGCAGTGATAGTTGTTTCAAGGACACTGAGATGGAGGATGATGGAGATATAACATGTTAATGCCGTGCCAAAAATGATTTTATGTCCAGCCCAAAAGACGTTTAATACTTTTAAATCTCTAGTTGAATATAAAAAAATTATAAGTGCACAAATATGAATTAGTGTACGGGATGAGAGGAAAGTCGTTCGGCTGCGTCTCTGGATTGCTATCGGTTTAAGCACACGACTATTTCTTAAGCTCTCTAATGATTCTCCACTTATCCCTTGTTTTATATTCCGCACACAATTTACTTATTTAAAACTGTCATCCGAACCAAAAGCACGGAAGCCTTTTATATGTGTGCCATCGTGTGATTTGGTGGGAGGAGAATAGTGCATCTGCGAAGCTCCTCTGAAGAGCATTAAGTGCCTCAACCATTTGGATCAGAAGGTACTATATGGGGTAGAATATTTTAATTATACAGAATATAGCGATGTTGCTAGGAAGCGACTGCTTAACGGACAAAACCAACAGCATGAAAGCGGCAAAATTAAGCGCAATGGAAAACGGGTGAAGTAACGGGGACTTGAGGCGGAATATGTGTAGGAGCAATGAAACAGCATTGGGCATTAAAGGATGCGCCTACGGATGCAGCAAAGAGGTGAGTAAGCCACAGGGAAGACTTGTAACAGACTAAAAAATTAAAAATTACAAGGTTCCATATAGACATAGGAAATATAACGACCTGTAAAAATAGTTAATAAATGAATGTACGTATTTTGTGTTCTACTTATTTGGAAGAAAATGAAAAAAGTAAATACAGCCCGGTGAAGGCGCGACTTGACTTGTAGAATAACTAAGAATGTAATGTAGTTATTATTGAATGTAACTATCCCTCTCCCTCTGAATAACCCACAAAATTTGTAAAATCACATATTGAAATGGTCAACAAATGTCACTAAATTGATCTGGATTCCATGAATGGAGGACTAACGATTTACAATGTAGATGCATGATTTTGTCCAGAAGGAAGCTTCTCCGTAAACGGTGTATGGAATACAGCTGTATGCGCCTCCATCTAGCTCTGAAGCTATCGACAAGGGACTTCTACGCTGTCATTGTTGTGCTTTTTAGCGCCTTTTCTTCGCCACTGCGCCAGTGCGTCGTCTTAACAGGAACTACTTTTTGGGTCGGTTATATTATTTCTTCTGCTATTATAGTTGATATGAATTGTATTTGTAAATAATTATGAAAGTGCAAGTGCAAGTGCTCGCTTGCAGCTTCTAGTGAAAAGATGGAGATTGAGCTTGTCAATAATTGGAGCGAGCTCTTCGTGTGTATCCCGAATTTGTCATTATGTGAGCATTCACTAAATTATTATCGACTAATGCTTCGATAAATCGCTGGAGAACGTGCAATGCACGTCTCAATGCACTGCGTCTTCGCGTCCTTCAAGTGCTGCGCAAAGGAGCAATCGAAGCTTTGGAGCATGGACCACGCTCGTTGTAGATACTCAGCTACATTTGCGCATTGTCACTGTGGAACGTGGCACTCCTGATACATTTCTTATTTACGTTAGCTGGGTTTTTGCGATGTACGGCGGACGGAAAACACTGGCGTGATTGCTGTCTATGTCTATTTAACATGTATCACAGTAAGCTGGGTACTAACTGAGTACCTGTATGTTTCATACAATTTCTTAGTACAATACAGAATAATACAGTACAGTAACAAATGTGAAAATTGTCGCACGTGGAATATTAGAAAATTTGGTGATACAATTGATGTCGGACGTATTTTCGATACTTCTTTTTAAACTGTCCAGCCATAAACATTTCAAAAGAAAAAATTGAAATTTGTGTTCTAAAATAATTCGCTTTGTAAACTCGACCGGTGCAAGCTCTTGGACGCTGCGGCATGGCGTTCTCTACGCAGAAAGAGTTTTTCCATGTGCCGTTTATGAACGAGACGCTTGAGTTTGATTGCCAGGACGCTTGTGTTAAGTTAAAAAGCTATCCATCAACATTCGATGATCGCTCGTGGGCAGCCGATGAGGACAAAAAGTCACGTTTCGTGTCCGATCTGGTAGCTTGCAATACACCGTTAGTTTTGCGCCAAGATGACGGTAGTGGTGGCCCCGGCGGTGGCGCACCTGGTGGCAGAGCGGGTTATGGGCCTGGCGGCAGAGCTGCCAGTGGACCTGGAGGCAGAGGTCGCACCGGACCTGATTATGATGGGCCAACTGGCGGCAAAGCGGGAAAACCTGGTCAGAAAGGGCAGGACTATGGTAGAGGACCTACGGGTAAGCGAGGACAGGGGCCCGGAGGCTACGGGGATCCAGGACAGCAAGGACCAGGTGGTCGGGGTGGTCCAGGACAGGGCCCAGGTCGTTATGGTGGTCCCAGAGAAGATGGGCAGGGTCCAGGTCCCGGCCAGAGGGGACAGGCTGGTCGACGTGGTTCTAGCGTTCCTGGACAGGGTGGTGATCGGGCCGCGTACGGAGGACCGGAAAGAGGTCCTGGTCAGGGTCCAGGGGGTCGAGGCGTCGCTGGACCAGGTCAGGCTGGCTATGGAGGTCCGGGGCAAGGAGGCCAAGGGCCTGGCGGTCGGGGCGGAACTGGACCGGGCCAGGCCGGCTATGGTGGTCCGGGTCAACAGGGACAGGGGCCAGGAGGTCGAGGCGGACCTGGACCAGGGCAAGAGGGCCAGGGGCCAGGCGGTCGTGGGGGAACTGCACCAGGTCAGGCCGGATATGGAGCTCCAGGTCCAGGCCAGGCCGGCTATGGTGGTCCGGGTCAACAAGGCCAGGGGCAAGGAGGTCCAGGTCAACAGGGACAGGGGCCAGGTAGACCGAGTCAACAGGGACAAGGGCCAGGTGATCGAGGAGCAGCAGGGCCAGGACAGGCCGGCTATGGTGGACCGGGTCAGGGGCCAGGCGGCCGAGGCGGAAGTGGGCCAGGCCAAGCTGGCTATGGAGGACCGGGTCAACAGGGCCAGGGGCCAGGCGATCGAGGAGCAGCTGGACCAGGCCAGGCTGGTTTTGCAGGTCCGGGTCAACAGGGCCAGGGGCCAGGTGGTCCGGGTCAGCAGGGTCAGGGACCAGGTGGTCGAGGAGCAGCTGCCCCAGGACAAGCCGGATATGGAGGTCCAGGACAAGAGGGCCAGGGGCCAGGCAGTCCTGGCGGGGCTGGGCCAGGTCAGGCTGGCTATGGTCAAGCGGGCCAGGGGCCAGGTGGTCAGGGACCTGCTCCTGGTCAGGCCGGGTATGGAGGCCCGGGTCAGCAAGGCCCAGGGCCAGGTGGTCCGGGACAACAAGGCCAAGGACCAGGTGCTCCGGGTCAACAGGGCCTGGAGCCAGGCGGTCGAGGCGGAGCTGGGCCAGGTCAAGCAGGCTATGGAGGTCCGGGCCAACAGGGACAAGGGCCAGGTGGTCCGGGTCAACAGGGCCAGGGGCCAGGTGGTCCGGGTCAACAGGGCCAAGGGCCAGGTGGCTATGGACAAGACGGTCAGGGTCCAGGCGGTCGGGGAGGTCCTGCTACAGGTCAGGCCGGATATGGTGGTCCGGGTCAACAGGGCCAAGGGCCAGGTGGACCGGGTCAACAGGGCCAAGGGCCAGGTGGTCCGGGTCAACAGGGCCAAGGGCCAGGTGGTCCGGGTCAACAAGGCCTGGGACCAGGTGGTCGAGGCGGAGCTGAGCCAGAACAAGAGGGCCAGGGCCCAGGAGGTCGAGGAGGTGCTGGTCCTGGTCAGCCCGGCTATGGAGGTCCTGGACAACAAGGCCAAGGCCCAGGAGGTCCAGGTCAACAGGGCCAGGGGCCAGGTGGTCGAGGAGTAGCTGGGCCAGCCCAAGCCGGTTATGGAGGTCCAGGACAAGAGGGACAAGGTCGAGGCGGACCTGGGCCAGGCCAGGCCGGCTTTGGAGGACCGGGTCAACAAGGCCAGGGGCCAGGAGGTGCGGGTCAACAAGGCCAGGGGCCAGGTGGTCCTGGTCAACAAGGCCAGGGGCCAGGTGGTCCTGGTCAACAAGGCCAGGGGCCAGGTGGTCCTGGTCAACAAGGCCAGGGGCCAGGTGGTCCGGGTCAACAAGGCCAGGGGCCAGATGGTCGAGGGGGAGCTGGACCAGGTCAGGCAGGTTATGGAGGTCCTGGACAACAGGGCCAGGGGCCAGGTGGTCAAGCTGGAGCTGGGCCGGGCCAAGCAGGCTATGCTGGTCCGGGACAAGAAGGACAGGGTCCAGGTGGTCGTGGAGGTCCTGGGCCAGGGCAGGCCGGCTATGGAGCTCCTGGACAACAAGGTCAGGGGCCAGGAGGTCTGGGTCAGCAAGGCCAGGGGCCAGGAGGTCCGGGTCAACAAAGCCAGGGCCCAGGTGGTCGAGGTGGAGCTGGACCAGGTCAGGCAGGTTATGGAGGTCCTGGTCAACAGGGTCAGGGGCCAGGTGGTCAAGTTGGAGCTGGGCCGGGCCAAGCAGGCTATGCTGGTCCGGGACAAGAAGGACAGGGTCCAGGTGGTCGAGGAGGTCCTGGGCCAGGGCAGGCCGGCTATGGAGGTCCTGGACAACAAGGCCAAGGGCCAGGAGGTCCGAGTCAACAGGGCCAGGGGCCAGGAGGTGCGGGTCAACAAGGCCAGGGGCCAGCTGGTCGGGGCGGTCCTGGACAGGGTCAGGCCGGCTATGGAGGCCCAGGACAAGAAAGCCAGGGGCCAGGCAGTCCGGGTCAACAGGGGCAGGGGCCAGGTGGTCGAGGAGTAGCTGGCCCAGGTCAAGCCGGTTATGGAGGTCCAGGACAAGAGGGACAGGGTCGAGTACCTGGGCCTGGACAGGCCGGATATGGAGGTCCAGGTCAACAGGGTCAGGGTCCGGGTCAACAGGGTCAAGGGCCAGGTGGTCCAGGTCAACAGGGCCAGGGGCCAGGCGGCACAGGCGGAGCTGGGCCAGGACAGACCGGCTTTGGAGGTCCGGGACAGCAGGCCCAGGGGCCAGGTGGTCGCGGTGGACCTGCACCCGGCCAAGCCGGCTATGGTGGTCCGGGACAACAGGGTCCGGGTCAACAGGGTCAAGGGCCAGGTGGTCCGGGTCAGCAGGGCCAGGGGCCAGGCGGCACAGGCGGAGCTGGGCCAGGACAGACCGGCTTTGGAGGTCCGGGACAGCAGGCCCAGGGGCCAGGTGGTCGAGGAGCACCTGTTCCGGGCCAAGCCGGCTATGGTGGTCCGGGACAAGAGAGCCAGGGGCCAGGTGGTCGAGGAGGACCTGGTCCAGGCCAGGCTGGATATGGAGGTCCGGGTCAAGAGGACAAGGGTCCAGGCGGTCGAGGCGCACCTGGACCAGGACAAGCCGGATATCAAGGTCCAGGACAAGAAGGCCAGGGTCCAGGCGGTCGAGGCGGCCCTGGGCCAGGACAAGCCGGCTATGTTGGTCCAGGAAAAGAGGGCCAGGGTCCAGGCGGTCGAGTCGGACCTATGCCAGGACAAGCCGGATATGGGGGTCCAGAACAAGACGGTCGAGGTGGAGTTGGTCCAGGCCAGGCCGGTTATGTTGGTCCCGGAAAAGAGGCGCAAGGTCCTGGCGGTCGAGGCGGACCTGGGCCAGGACAAGCCGGATATGGAGGTCCGGGACAAGAGGGCCAAGGACCAGGCGGTCGGGGCGGACCTAGGCCAGGACAAGAAGGCCAGGGTCCAGGTGGTCGAGGCGGACCTGTGCCAGGCCAGGCAGGCTATGGTGGTCCAGGACAAGAGGGTCCAGGCGGTCCTGGTCCAGGACAAGCCGGATATCAAGGTCCAGGACAAGAGGGCCAGGGTCCAGGTGGTCGAGGTGGACCTGGGCCAGGACAAGCCGGATATGTTGGTCCCGGAAAAGACGGCCAGGGTCCAGGCGGTCGAGGCGGACCTGGGCCAGGTCAGGCCGGCTATGGTGGTCCAGGCCAAGAAGGGCAAGGGCCAGGGCCAGGTGGTCGAGGCGAACCTATGCCAGGACAAGCCGGATATGGAGGTCCTGGAAAAGAAGGCCAAGGTCCAGGAGGTCGAGGTGGACCTGGGGCAGGACAAGCCGGATATGGAGGTCCGGGACAAGAGGGCCAGGGTCCAGGCGGTCGAGGTGGACCTGGGCCAGGACAAGCCGGATATAGAGGTCCAGGACAAGAAGGCCTGGGTCCAGGCGGTCGAGGTGGACCTGGGCCAGGACAAGCCGGATATGGAGGTCCAGGACAAGAGGGCCAGGGTCCAGGCGGTCGAGGCGGACCTGGGCCAGGACAAGCCGGATATAGAGGTCCAGGCCAAGAAGGCCAGGGTCCAGGCGATCGAGGTGGACCTGGGCCAGGACAAGCTGGATATGCAGGTCCGGGACAAGAGGGCCAGGGTCCAGGCGGTCGAGGCGGACCTGGGCCAGGACAAGCTGGATATGGAGGACCAGGACAAGAGGGCCAGGGTCCAGGTGGTCGAGGTGGACCTGGGCCAGGACAAGCCGGATATGTTGGTCCTGGAAAAGACGGCCAGGGTCCAGGCGGTCGAGGCGGACCTGGGCCAGGTCAGGCCGGCTATGGTGGTCCAGGTCAAGAAGGGCAAGGGCCAGGGCCAGGTGGTCGAGGCGAACCTATGCCAGGACAAGCCGGATATGGAGGTCCTGGAAAAGAAGGCCAAGGTCCAGGAGGTCGAGGCGGACCTGGGCCAGGACAACCCGGTTATGGTGGTCCAGGACAAGAAGGCCAGGGTCCAGGCGGTCGAGGTGGACCTGGGCCAGGACAAGCCGGATATGGAGGTCCGGGACAAGAGGGCCCGGGTCCAGGCGGTCGAGGCGGACCTGGGCCAGGACAAGCCGGATATAGAGGTCCAGGACAAGAAGGCCAGGGTCCAGGCGGTCGAGGTGGACCTGGGCCAGGACAAGCCGGATATGGAGGTCCGGGACAAGAGGGCCAGGGTCCAGGCGGTCGAGGCGGACCTGGGCCAGGACAAGCCGGATATAGAGGTCCAGGACAAGAAGGCCAGGGTCCAGGCGGTCGAGGTGGACCTGGGCCAGGACAAGCCGGATATGCAGGTCCGGGACAAGAGGGCCAGGGTCCAGGCGGTCGAGGCGGACCTGGGCCAGGACAAGCTGGATATGGAGGACCAGGACAAGAGGGCCAGGGTCCAGGTGGTCGAGGTGGACCTGGGCCAGGACAAGCCGGATATGTTGGTCCCGGAAAAGACGGCCAGGGTCCAGGCGGTCGAGGCGGACCTGGGCCAGGTCAGGCCGGCTATGGTGGTCCAGGTCAAGAAGGGCAAGGGCCAGGGCCAGGTGGTCGAGGCGAACCTATGCCAGGACAAGCCGGATATGGAGGTCCTGGAAAAGAAGGCCAAGGTCCAGGAGGTCGAGGCGGACCTGGGCCAGGACAACCCGGTTATGGTGGTCCAGGACAAGAAGGCCAGGGTCCAGGCGGTCGAGGTGGACCTGGGCCAGGACAAGCCGGATATGGAGGTCCGGGACAAGAGGGCCAGGGTCCAGGCGGTCGAGGCGGACCTGGGCCAGGACAAGCCGGATATAGAGGTCCAGGACAAGAAGGCCAGGGTCCAGGCGGTCGAGGTGGACCTGGGCCAGGACAAGCCGGATATGGAGGTCCGGGACAAGAGGGCCAGGGTCCAGGCGGTCGAGGCGGACCTGGGCCAGGACAAGCCGGATATAGAGGTCCAGGACAAGAAGGCCAGGGTCCAGGAGGTCGAGGCGGACCTGGTCCAGGACAAGCCGGTTATGGTGGTCCGGGTCAGCAAGGACAGGGCCCAGGTGGTAGAGGTGGACTTGGTCCAGGACAAGAGGGCCAGGGTCCAGGCGGTCGAGGTGGACCTGGGCCAGGACAAGCTGGATATGTTGGTCCCGGAAAAGACGGCCAGGGTCCAGACGGTCGAGGCGGACCTGGGCCAGGTCAGGCCGGCTATGGTGGTCCAGGACAAGAAGGGATGGGGCCAGGTGGTCGAGGAGAACCTGTGCCAGGGCAAGCAGGCTATGGAGGTCTCGGAAAAGATGGGCTGGGTCCTGGAGGCCGAGGCGGACCTGGGCCAGGACAAGCCGGTTATGGGGGTCCGGGACAACAGGGCCAGGGGCCAGGTGGTAGAGGCGGACCTATGCCAGGACAAGCCGGCTATGGTGGTCCCGGAAAAGAGGGCCAGGGTCCAGGTCGCGGTGGACCTGGGCCAGGTCAGGCCGGCTATGGTGCTCCAGGACAAGAAGGGCAAGGGCCAGGCAGTAGAGGCGGACCCATGCCAGGACAACCCGGCTATGGAGGTCCTGGAAAAGAAGGCCAGGGTCGAGGCGGACCTATGCCAGGACAAGCCGGATATGGAGGTCCTGGACAAGAAGGCCAGGGTCCAGGAGGCCGACCTATGCCAGGACAAGCCGGTCCAGGACAAGGTCCAGGAACTCGAGGCGGACTAGGTCCGGGCCAGGCTGGTTATGTTGGTCCCGGAAAAGAGGGCCAGGGTCCAGGTCGAGGTGGACCTGGGCTAGGCCAGGCCGGATATGGTGCTCCAGGACAAGAAGGGCAAGGGCCAGGCGGTAGAGGCGGACTAATGCCAGGACAACCCGGCTATGGAGGTCCTGGAAAAGAAGGCCAGGGTCCAGGAGACCGATCAGGACCAATGCCAGGCCAAGCCGGATATAGAGGTATAGGACAAGAGGGCCAGGGTCCAGGCGGACGAGGCGGACCTGGGCCAGGACAAGAAGGGCAAGGGCCAGGCGGTAGAGGCGGACTAATGCCAGGACAACCAGGCTATGGAGGTCCTGGAAAAGAAGCGCAGGGTCGTGGCGGACCTATGCCAGGGCAAGCCGGATATGGTGGTCCGGGTCAGCAGGCACAGGGGCCGGGTGGTCGAGGCGGACCTATGCCAGGACAAACAGGATATGGAGGTCCAGGACAAGAGGGCATGGGTCCAGGCGTTCGACGTGGAGTTGGACCAGGCCAGGCCGGATATGGCGGTCCAGGACAAGGAATGGGTCCAGGCGGACGAGGTGGAGTTGGCCCAGGCCAGGCTGGATATGGAGGTCCAGGACAAGAAGGGATGGGTCCCGGAAGTCGCGTTGGCGCTGGACCAGGGCAGGCCGGATATGGTGGTCCAGGACAAGATATGGGTCCAGGCGGACGAGGTGGAGTTGGGCCAGGCCAGGCTGGATATGGAGGTCCAGGACAAGATGGAATGGGTCCCGGTGGTCGAGGCCCAGCTGGACCAGGTCAAGCTGGATATGGCGGTCCAGGACAAGGGATGGGTCCAGATGGTCGAGGTGGATTTGGGCCAGGCCAAGCCGGCTATGGCCAGGATGGATATGGAGTTCCGGGACAAGAAGGAATGGGTCCAGGAGGTCGCGGTGGCGCTGGGCCAGGTCAGGCCGGCTATGGTGGTCCGGGTCAGCAGGGTCAAGGACCAGGCGGCATTGGTGTCACTGGACAAGACAGCGGTCGTGGTAGCTACCCAGGTAGTGGTCGTGACGGTTACGGCGGTCCCGATGGACAAGGGGGGCCCGGAGGTTATGGTGGTCCCGGAGGACAGGGACCTGGAGATTTCGGTGGATCTGGTGGACGGGTTCCTGGGGGACCTGGGGGACCTGGAGATTTTGGTGGATCTGGTGGACGGGGCTCTGGGGGACCTGGAGATTTTGGTGGAAGGGGTCCTGGGGGACCTGGAGGTCCTGGAGGTCCTGGAGGTCCTGGAGGTCCTGCAGCACGCTCTGGAGAGCCTGGTGGAAAACTAGTGGTGGGCGACAGTCTTATTAACGCTGCGGACGACACCATTGAAAACATGAAGAAGGTAATGATTGACAACAAATTACTCGACAAAGATCTGGCCGAGACCCGAGATTGCGTGTGCGGCACTAAAACAGGAAATGCTGAACTCCAACGAATAATGGAACAGCGCTACGACCCCGAAATGAGCAAGGTGTTTCAGAATAAAATTCAAGACTTGTCAGACGCTAGAAAGATCGACAAGAACGATGAGAGGGATCTCAGACACATCCATAAATCCGTCGATGATATGAATAAATCCCATGATATTCTAGAATCGGAAAATGCAAACCTAAGACGACTTCTGGAAAAACAGTCCAGGCGTATATCGATGGACAGCATTAGGATTGATCCAGAAAAAAGCAACGATGTCAATTATTTACAAAATAAGATCGACAATATGGGTAAGGAGTTGGCAATACTGCGTCAGGCTGAGGACGAATTTATAAGAGCGGGGGGAGTCACGGAAGGCGGTTATAGTGGTCCTGGTGGACAAGGGCCTAGCGGTCTCGGTGGACCTGACATGGATGTTGACACACTTCAAACCATGTTGGCTGAGCGTGAAGCACTACGCGCAAAGATTAAAAAACTAGGCTCGCTCGATAATAAGGTTAAAGGTTCGAAGAAGAAGGTATGCCTAGCAGAATGCGCCTCTGCTGATCTAGTCAATAGTCTTAACGAACAGAATCGTTATATTTGTGACATGGAGAATGACATTCAGGAAATGCAGCAATACTATGAAACTGAGGTAGAGCAGTCCAAGTACAATGAAGAAGTCCTGAAGGTAAGTCAGCATTTCTGGGTGTTTTGTTATCGAGAGCTAACATCAATTGCTTTCAGTGTCGCTGCAATGACCTTCAACAACAAGTGGTGACCCTCCAACCGGCACTGCAGCGTGCGGACCTTATGCAAATGGAGATCGACGTTTTACGCAATGAGCTGCGAAAACGTGACTTGGCTTTGAATGCCTACGATTGCCAATACCAGCAGCTCATGGTAAGCATTTTTAATCAGAGGCTATTTAAAATTTTATGTGTCTCTATGTATCCCAAAGCATAAAACTAAAGCGTTCAAGAAATCTGGGTATCGTTACCTAGACGAATTGATAGAAAGTTGCAGTGATAGTTGTTTCAAGGAAACTGGGAAAGAGGATGATGGAGATATAACATGTTAATGCCGTGCCAAAAATGATTTTATGTCCTGCCCAAAAGACCTTTCATGATTTTAAATCTGTAGTTAAAATTTTAAAATTATAAGTGCACAGATATCAAATAGCTATAAAGCATGAACGGGGTGAGAGGAAAGTCGTTAGGGTACGTCTCTGGATTGCTAGCGGCTTAAGCACATGTATATTCTCCCTTCCTCTTTCTCAAGCCCTCTTTAAAAAGTTTCAATCCACAACTACTTTTAATGATTTTCCTCTCTAATCCCTTGTTTTATATTTCACACACATTCTGCTCATTCTAGACCGTCATCTGTGAGCTGAACCAAAAGTACGGAAATCAGCGTGGTGACTGTCCCTCATTTGATTTACCAGACTGTCCCGATGTAGGCGATGATCTAGCCTTTTACACGAGCGCCACTTTGGAACTTATCATGGACGAAATGAGCAAACAGGTTGATTGCTTTAAACATATGAACGAGGATAAGTATTCCGGCGGTCAGAATATCAACAATATAGAAGACTGCATGAACGAGCTAGATCGCCTGCGTAATTTGTTAAATGAAAAGGACGGCCAGTTGGGCGATTTGATAGAAGAGAACCAGTGCATGTGCGAAGGAGCTCTGCAGAGCAACAAGCGACTTAACCAATTGGATAAAAAGGTTCGTCAACTTGATAATGACACAAAGTATATGGAGGAGGGTATGCGCGAGAGCATTGGATTAATACAGGATATTGGTGATGTTGCCAGGGAAAACGATAGGTTGAAGGATAAAGTTAACAACTTGAAAGAAGCTGAACTTCAAGCATTGACGGATGATTTAAAGAAACAGCTTGAGGATTGCATGAAGAGTAAACAGCTTTGCGAAGAACTAAATAAAAGTTATAGAGAAGCCATACAGGACCTTGGAGGGGATCTTGACGCTATTGATAAAGAAGTCAAAGAGAGAGTGGATCAAAAAAGAAAGGCAGAAGAAGCTGAAAAAGCAGCCGAAGAAGCTGTAAAAGCAGCCAAAGAAGCTGAAAAAGCAGCCGAAGAAGAAGCTCAAAAAGCTGCCGAAGAAGTTAAAAAAGAAGCCGAAGCACCTGAATTGAAAGAAGAACCAAAATTGTACGAGAAAGTTATGACGCCGACAGGAATAGTGGAAAGATTGACAGAAAAACCGGACGGGATGGCCGTGCAGAAACCAACTGAACAGCCAGATTCTAGAGCTAAGCCTGGTGCTGGTGATACAGTAGAGCTTCAACCAAGTGGCAAGGCCATAGATACAGCAGCCGATCAATCAGGTGCAAAGGCACAGGATACAATAGTCGGTCAACCAGGTGCAGAGCCACAGGATACAACAAGCGGGCAACCAGGTGTAAAGCCTCAAGATACAGCAGCCGTTCAACCTGGTGCAAAGCCTCAAGATACAGCCGGCGCTCAACCTGGGGCAAAGCCTCAAGATACAGCCGGCGCTCAACCGGGTGCTAAGCCCCAAGATACAGCCGGCGCTCAACCGGGTGCTAAGCCTCAAGATACACTCGCCGCTCAACCGGGTGCTAAGCCTCAAGATACAGCCGCCGCTCAACCGGGTGCTAAGCCTCAAGATACAGCCGCCGCTCAACCGGGTGCTAAGCCTCAAGATACAGCCGCCGCTCAACCGGGTGCTAAGCCTCAAGATACAGCCGCCGCTCAACCGGGTGCTAAGCCTCAAGATACAGCCGCCGCTCAACCGGGTGCTAAGCCTCAAGATACAGCCGCCGCTCAACCGGGTGCTAAGCCTCAAGATACAGCCGCCGCTCAACCGGGTGCTAAGCCTCAAGATACAGCCGCCGCTCAACCGGGTGCTAAGCCTCAAGATACAGCCGCCGCTCAACCGGGTGCTAAGCCTCAAGATACAGCCGCCGCTCAACCGGGTGCCAAGCCTCAAGATACAGCCGCCGCTCAACCGGGTGCTAAGCCTCAAGATACAGCCGCCGCTCAACCGGGTGCTAAGCCTCAAGATACAGCCGCCGCTCAACCGGGTGCTAAGCCTCAAGATACAGCCGCCGCTCAACCGGGTGCCAAGCCTCAAGATACGGCAGCCGCTCAACCGGGTGCTAAGCCTCAGGATACGGCAGCCGCTCAACCGGGTGTGAAGCCTCAGGATACGGCAGCCGCTCAACCGGGTGCTAAGCCTCAAGATTCAGCAGCCGCTCAGCCGGGTGCTAAGCCTAAAGATACGGCAGCCGCTCAACCGGGTGCTAAGCCTCAGGATTCGGGAGCCGCTCAGCCGGGTGCTAAGCCTCAGGATACGGCAGCCGCTCAACCGGGTGCTAAGCCTCAAGAGACGGCAGCTAGTAAACCAGGTGCAAAGCCCCAAGATACAACAGCCGGTCCACCAGGTTCGAAGCCCCAAGATACAACAGCAGGTCAACCAGGTGCTAAGACTGCCGACAAGCCCGGGGCAGCCGGAAAACCTGGAGATAAACCTGCAGCAGCCGGAAAACCTGGAGATAAGCTAGCCGACAAGTCAGAAGCAGCTGCTCAACCGGCTGCTGCTTCTGGCGACAAAGCTGGAGCAGCTGGGAAAGCTGGGCCTAAACCTGGCGACAAGCCCGGAAAAGCCGCACTGCCGACTACTGCAGATGAAGATAAGGCTGGACAGCTTGATGCTGGGCCTGGAGATAAGGCTGGAGCAGCTGGACAGCCTGATGCGGGACCTGGAGATAAGGCCGATGGTGCGGCTGGACAACCTAGCGATAAGCCCGGAAGAGCCGGCGGCCCAGCTGGTCAACCTAGTGATAAGCCCGGAAGAGCCGGCGGCCCAGCTGGTCAACCTAGTGATAAGCCCGGAAGAGCCGGCGGCCCAGCTGGTCAACCAGGAGCAACAGCTGGTGATAAGGCCGGTGCTAAGTCTGGCGAAGGAGCGGGTAGGCAACCAGGTGCTAAAGCCGGAGGTGGTCCCGGAGCAGCAGAAGCTAAGGCCGGTGCTGCTGGAGGAGGAGCAGGACAGGCACCAAAAGGTCTTGCCCAAAAGCCAGGCTTGCGTGGACCAGGCAGAGATACATACGGCGAAGATGACGGAACAGGTGGTGCGAAACGCGGAGCTGGGCGCGGCAGAAAAAGTCAAAAACTAGATGACACCACTGAAGAGCAGTTCGATGAGTTTGTAAAAAATACTGTAAAAACATTATCTGCCGGCGAGATTGATGGTGTTGGTTTGGAAAGGGAGTTGCGCAAGATTTTGGATATGTTTATCGATGAGTGCGGATTCTGTTTCTGCAAGTGCAACATTCCGAAGAGCCGCTTCTATGCTATATGTCATAAACTCTACCATCATGGGCTGCACACCCTAGACTTCAAAGATCTGGCCTACATGCATAAGCGTATCTTTGCTGCGGCAGAAAACATTCTGCCTGGATGTCTTTTCAATATGATTATGAAAGATATACTGGCCACTAATCCACAGAGCCTAACCCAGACGACCCCTTCAACTACCGTACCCGAAAAACAGTGCTGCACGTGCAAGAGCTCACTCTGTTGCGATGACACTGAGGAAAAACTTATGATAAAGGGTTCGTGTCAACATTTTTTTTTTAATTATAAATATAGTCATTTAAACTTTCGTTTTTAGTAATGCGCCTTGAGAACGACATTGAGAATGCCAAATTGTGCTTGAAGAATTTGAAAAATATTCCATCGAATCTCTCCATACATGATTACCGTATTGAAGCTGGCGATTGTCCGGCAAAGTAAGTACCAAAAAATAAATTATATTTTTGCAAAATTTTCAAATTGATTTTACACGAATTACAGGGACCGTGTCCTACGTTCGGCGCGTGGAGGAAACTCCATTACCATATACAAAGAAATTAAGCAGGCCCGACGTGTTAAGGTGATTTTTTTTAACGTATAACACGGTATTGCAAAATCTTCTAAGCTCTATGTTCTTTTTATTTCAGAAGGGATTTACTACAAACAATTAAATATTGCTTTATGTTTTTGTGTTTTTCGTGTTGGGTTGGATTCAAGTAATATGTCCGATTTACGTTTCTGATATTGTGATCCAACCATATAAAATTCATTGTCAATTTAAATATTAAATTATTAATCGTTAAATTTGAGTGTTTAACTAATGTGTACTCGATGTCATGTTGAATACTCAGTATCGATAGTAGTATCGCTAGTTGGCAACAGTTATCGATTAATGATTGTATAAGCATTCAGTAAGTGCTTTGCAGAGTTTTTAGAATAACAAATTTGAATTAACCATGGAAAAACTAGTCTGTGCCAGCATGAAGATCGTTCAGATGCAGGTAACCTTTAGGAAAATATGTAGGCGCCTCTTAACTACAATACAGAGTTTTGTTTTTATTGAAATTACAGATGCCTCAGTTGGCGTCAGCGGGAATGCGTTTGTTGTGTCCAGGCTTACAGAATGCACTCCAAGTGCAGCAAGTGCGACATCGACAGACTAAGCACTGGAAGCCTGAGTTTAAGCGCTTGCGTAGGCAAAAATTTATAAAAATTGAGCTGCCCAACTTGCGTGAGAAGCCGCAAGATATAAACAAGGAGGAAATGCGTAGCCGTATGAAAGAACGTGGTGTATTGCCACCGCGTCCGTGGATGGAACGTCCGTTTCACATAAGCTGCACGGGTGGCATATTTGAGGCATATGTACCGCCAGAGGGGGATGGCAAAAAGTCAATAATTTCCTCTACGGGGGCTAAGCAAAAACTTGAATTTCTTGAAAAGAAATCAAAAAGTCTTATGGCTGTACGAAAGATACGCTCGTATGAGGAGAACTTTAGCAGTGATGACTTTGGTGTACAGGCCCAGGAAATCTATATAGCAGCGCATACGCATATGGCGGCTAAGGAAAAGTATAAGATTCGTGAATTTGTTAGCGAACGCTGCTATCCGGAAATGATGCACAATGTCAAGGATAAGACAATACATTGGCGTTTTCTGCAATCGCTGGAGCCGCCCCGTGTGGTACATGCGCGCGTCACTGAAGTTATAACTAAGGAGAATCAGTTTGCGCAGGTCACAGTTCGTTTTCACACCCAACAAATGCTGGCTATATACGATCGCTTTGGTCGCCTAATGCACGGCAGTGAGATTCTTACCAAGGATGTGCTGGAGTATGTTGTCTTTGAGAAACACATTTCCAATGAGTACGGCAAATGGCGGTTGCACGACAAAATCATTCCCGATTGGCTGCCAGCAAAGCAGCCAGCTCCCATTACGTATCGCATTACAGACGAAATTGTCGAGGAAGCGCGCAACGAGCTTAGCAGTGGTGAGCAGACAAAGCAGCTGGACTCTGGTGGCAATCAGCTAACGGATATTAATATGGGCGGCTCTCAAACCACGGCATCAATACAGCCGCCTACGCACGGTCCTAAACCGACACCCGCCATTTGATTGTACTTTCTGTGGGCTGCCTGGCGGCTCAAAAGATTAAACGTTGATGTCCAACAGCGTTAAGGAGACGCGATATGCTAGGCTAAGGCAAAAAACACGAAACCTCTAAATACATTTTTATTTTTAAAGTTAGACAACTTATTTATTTACTCATCATCATTTTCATTTTCGAAATCTTGCATATTGTATTTGTTGCTCGGGTTCAAGCAGTAATTCATACAGCTGCTTTGACTATGAAAGAGATTTGCATTGCCGCCACAGCCGCTCCAGTCAAACTCTCTGCAACGGTCGCGTACGAAGTCATAATACCATTTCCACTGGTGCCCTTTACAATCACCATATTGGGCATCTAGCGTGCAAACGTCTGAAATTTCTGGATAAATATTACTACTAACATATTTTTTGTTTGCAATTTCGTTACCTTTTCGTAGCTTAGTGGCTTTATTTAGTTTGAAAGCTGTCGCCAGGCTCAGTAACAGGCACAGAAGGACACTGAGCTGCATGATAATCCTCATTCTGTTTAGCTTTGAATGAGAAATTCTACAAGCAACAGGTCTTTATATATGAGAGAGTAGGGAAATAAAAATATAATTAAAATGTGTTTTGAAATATTATGCAGTGGTCGCGGTCGGTCCGCTATTCGTTATTTTTAATTATTTGAGTTATTTGAGGCTTTTTTAAATATTATAATAATATTATATATTAGGCCCTATGTTTGAATGACGATTTCGATTGACATAGTAACCAGTACTATTTAAAATATATTTTGATAATTGATAAACGAAGAAAAATTTATGCACAAATGTATGGGATTCTGTATAATACAGCCTATTTCGTATTTGAAATTGGACAGAGTTTTACAACCAGATGTTTTTAACAATATTTACACAAATATGTGTGTGTAAGCAAAAATGTAATTAGTTAAAAACTTATGGCAATATAGGTATATATAGGCATTTATTTACTCAGTTAAACTTAAGATTAGGTGCAGCTAATTATAAATACACACGATCACTTCGTGGAGCAGTTGTGGACTGCTACGTTCGTCATGGTTCCTTCTGATGGGACACTTTAAAAATACAATACAAGTGTAAATAAATATATATAAAAGTATGTACAAAGATCAGACAGAAGATCGATAAGTGGGCTTAGGATTAAACAAAGCTGCTGCTGGGCTCATCGAGGTAGGCACAACGTGTACTCGCCTGCTCCAGCGATTTGCGTGCCATCTCCAGTGGCAATTTGCCGGCAAAAGACAAAGTGTTGGCCGTGATTGTGGGCGACGTTGTCGTCGTCGTCGACGCCGTTTTTGTGGATGTGAGCTTTGCAGGCGAGAATTTGTTGCTGTTGTTGCCATTGGGCGGGGTATTTGCCACGCCCCAATTTGATGGCTTAATAGGCAACACCTTTGGCTTGGGCGGCAACGGTGGCGGCGCTTTGGCAAATTCCTGTAGCTCCTGCTGTTCAATGGGCGTTGACATCGCCGGTAACTCTGTCTCCTGCTCCAGATCCACCTTCATGGGCGACTGCGGCTGTTGACCGCGTGTAATAGAATGCCGCGGCGCTGGCTGTGGCGCATCCACCGGGGTGTTGCTGGTCTTATTAACTGGACTCAAATTGGCGCGCACCTTGCGCAGCTTGGAGGCAGCCGCATTGAGATTCTCTTTGTTTTTGAGAAAGTCGGGCAAATCAAAGTTGATCTCTGTGCCGCGCTGATCCTCCAGGCGCGCCAATTGCGCACGCTTTAGGCCCTCGAGTAGTTCATCTGCAAACAGAGGTTTTAATGTGAATAACAGGCAGGAACCGGCTTGACGTGTGGCTTCTCACCCTGATGCTCCGCTACTCGCTCCGTTGACTGCAGTTTGACGCCCGCCTTTAGCTTTGCTATGATGGGTTTTTTTGGATCTAAATTTGGTACTGCAGCTGGGCCTGCCTCCTCGGAATGTTGACTGCTTGTGGATTTCTTTTTGAGCTTGGGCAGCTTGCTGCCTGGAATGTTGCTATTATCGCGATGTTGGCGTCGCATACGCTCAAATAGCGAGGAGGAGCTCTCCGAGGGTGCTTCATTTGATTTCATGGAGCACAGATCGCTTGGTTTGTGCGGCGTTGACGCTGACGCCGCCGCTACGGCAACTGCCTTGCTCTGCAGCAGCTCATTAAACATCTTGTTGGTGAGCTCATCCAGCTGGCCCTGCGTGGAATCTGGCGCAAGCGTGGGCAGCGGCTTCATTGGTTTGCTATGCTTCGGCGGCATGCTACTGCCGCCGCCTTGCTGAAAATCCGGCTGGATCAGTGCTATCTGCAGCCGTTGGCCATCTGCCACAGTGACAGGCTGCATCAAATCAAGCGGCGCCTGAGTGTCGCGCAGCAGGACCTGCACCCTTTCCATTTGATAGTTGTATTTGTTTAGAATGGGCCGGATAACCTCATGTAGCTGCTTCTTGGGCTTGCTTTTGACCGATATGACCTTGGGATCGGGCAAATCTAGTTTGAAGGCTACTCGACGCTCGATTAGCACCTCTTTGCCGGCCAGCATTTGTGAGGACTGCTGCGTATCTATGGACTTGTTGCTGCCCTGGAACACAACATCATAGTAGGGATAGACCAGGTTACGTTTCTCCAACAGACGCTCCACCAGCTGACCCACCGTCTCACCGGGACGTGTCTGCACAATAGTTGTGGCGCCATCGGTGAGTATGACACGACACAAGGAGCACACGCTGTCTGCGCTGGCACCCTGTCCGGGCTGTCCCGCATCGAAGGACGACAACGAGGAGCGGGAACTATGCAGATCGCTCACCGAGCCACCAGCCAGCAGCGCCAGCAATGGTGGTGGTGGCGGAGCTAATCCTGGTGCTTGTGGCGGTGGCATCAGCGTCTGCTGCAGATCGGCCATCAGTTCGCTGCGATCGCGGGATTTGCTGCGCGTCTTGCGATGCCAGGGCAATAGACTTTTACGTCGCCGATCCTCGGCATTGCTTGCAGATTTTTTGAGCTGGAAAAGCCAATGAATCAATAGGAATGTCCCAAAGCACACACAATGACTCGCTACTCACCTTGGGCGAGGCCACTACGTGAAAATTTGTCTTCAGCAGCTCATCCAGATCGGCGCCCGTGTAGGGTAGCGGCTGTTGCTTCTGCTCCGCCTCCACGCAGCTCTTGTACAGGTCGGAGCGTATGAAGCGCTGATAGCTATCGAATTTCATCAGGTTAAAAATTTGCTTTTGTGCCGCCGCAAAGATGTCCGAGGCGCCGCTGGCCAGTTTCTCATCGCTAAGATTGCGCGCCTGCGAGTCCACGTTGACCGGATCGCTGCTGCTGTTGGCCAAATGTTTGCCAAAGATTTCTCGTGCCACCGTCACGCGCTCCGGCTCCGATTCCAAGCATTTGTAGCGCTCGCAGGCAGTCCAAAAGTAGATGTTCTCCGCCGAGAATTCCTTTTTGAGAAATTCCGCAAAGGTCTGCATGCCGGCGGCATCTTGCAGCATGCGCTCAAAGGATGTGCCCCAACAACTGGGGCCCCCTTGCTCCGGCTGTGACGCTAGCTCCAGCGTTGATTCACCAACGCCGCCAGCGGCAGCTTTGACCATTACGCTGGATGGCGGCGCCGGTGTTGTGAGTATTTGCGGCACTTGAAAGATCGCCAACTGCTGCGACTGTTGCTTGGCCGGCTTGAGCTCGTCCAGCATGAGCGTCTTGATGTACACATCGTTGTCGGAGGCATTCATGGAGGCAGTGCGTCGCACTAATGGACTGCTGCCAGACCCTGATTTGGCCACCTTGTCGGCGCGCGACGTGCGAAACGATGATTGACCCCAGGCGCGACGAAAGGGCGACGCATTGGTGGGCAGTGCGCGGTTCTGGAAAAAACAAAAGCACAATAAGAATAGATTGTCACAATAAGAGAACTACTATGTTATGAGAAGATATCGTAGTAATAGGGCAGAATGTGATAGCCACTTTAAGATCATCTTTAGCTCTTATTTCCACATTTTTCAGATAGAAAACGTTTTTTAATGCTTCTAATTAAATTGGATTGAAGTCATTTTCTTAAATATTGATAAATAAATAGATATCAATGCCTGAACAAGACTGATCTATTATTAAAATACCATATTTTACAGTATAACATAGAATAAATAACAGTTACCTCAGGAAAGATTAATATAAGAGGCAGAAAAATACAACTTGATGTGCATTTTCATAAATAACCTCAACTTTTATTAAAAGAACTTGATTGAACTATGCTTCCTACATAAATGTCATATCGGCATCTTAAAAACCAAAATAATTGTAAATAATAAAAAACTCAATTTTGAAACGATTCCTACCGTAGGATTCAAAACAAAACAAAATCTGTTGCTTAGCTGTAAAATACCCTATATAGAGCATAATTAGAATCTGACAATCGCTTCAAAGTGTTTCTTCTAATGGGTATTCCAGGCACACTGTATATGAAGACGAGTGCTCGGAATAGCTTTCTGCAACTATTCTCATTACAACTTGATTTTGACCAATGCGCAGCGCTCTTTAAAGTGTATGAGTTCATTTTCATGGGCAATTTACAAGTACAAATTGAGGGAATGTGGAAATGAGGGACGCACTGGCCGATCACGTCTGTCATTATCACGGCCAAGCCCTAAACAGACGACACGATAAACTTTTGAACTTTTTAGTTTTATTTATTTATTTTTTGTTATGTGTAGAAGTTGAGGCTTCAATTTGTTTACGTGTGTGTGTGTGGGTTTGTGTGTGTGACGCATGCAACAGTTGCAACAGCCATTGGCAACTATTGATTGTCTCCCCCTGGCTGCCACTCCTCTCGCCCACAATTCTAATTGTGTGAACAAATTGTAAAGCCATCCTTTAGGCATATGTAGTGAGCGTGTGTGTGTGTGTTTGTGTGTGTACACACACATATTGTGATGAGTGTCGTTTCTGGGACTGCCTGCCTGTCCGATCCATTTGCTGCACTTTGCTGATAATCACTTTTGTCAGACAAACTCGAAGCTGTTGCCGCAGCTATTTATACATAATTTTCATTATACATATATTTGTTTGTATTTATGTCTGTGTCTGCGGTTTGTATGCCCACCCGGTTCCCATAGAAATGGGCGTAAATTGTAATACAACAAAGTGGTGCAAACATCTGTAACTAACTACTAACTAGGCCCAAATCATCTACGTCTTCTAAGCTGTAGATACGTTTCGTTACAGTGAAATCTCGACTGATGAACTGCGCTTCTTTAGTCGGCCAATTTGACTTCCCAATCTTTTTTTTCTTACTTTTCTAAAAACTTTTTCTCTTTTGTCCACCTAAATACATTATTATTGTTGTACAAAATCTATTTCCAAACCAAAAAACAAACAAGTTTTATATGAAATATAATTAAAGACATCTTGATACAATTGACAATTTGTGTTCTTAAACACAATCGAATAGTTTCAAAATATCCATTAATAGATCATTAACTTTTACAGAAATATGTAGAAAACGAGAAAGAAGGAAAAACAAAGAAGTTCTCAATACAACATCTTAATTTTCGACCGATCGTTCCTATGGCAGCTATATGATATAGTAGTCCGATGTAAATAAGATTTTGCATAAATGGAGGGAGCATAGTAAAACTAATAAATGCCGAGGTTGGTCACGATATCTTGATAAACAAATATGTTTTCCATACAACAACTTAATTTTCGACCGATCATTCCTATGGCAGCTATATGATATAGTTGTCCGATGTTGATAGGATTTTTCATATATATAAGGAGCATAGTAAAACTAATAAATGCCGAGTTTGATCAAGAAATCTTGTTAAACAAAAATGTTTTTCATACAAGAACCTACTTTTCGACCGATCATTCCTCTGGCAGCTATATGATATAGTGGTCCGATCCAGCTGGTTTTGACATATGTACTGAGTGCAACAGAAAGAGGTACTTCTGCAAAGTTTCATAAAGATAGCTTTAAAACTGAGAGACGAGTTCGTATAGAAACAAACAGACGGACAGCCGGACAGACGGACATGGCTATATCGACTCGGCTGTTGATACTGATCATGGATATATATACTTTATGCTGTCGGAGATGTCTTCTTCTATGCGTTACACATTTCACGACAAAATTATAATACCCTCTGCAAGGGTATAATAATGATTGAATGTTTTTCTTATTTTTTGTTATTTCTTCTACATCTATTTAAAGCAAACCTCGAAAAAAATAGAATTGAAACGGAAGGTGAACACTCAAGAGAACTTTCACTGTATAAGTATCTGAAATACATATATCTGATGTTTATGCTTAAGAATATATGCATATATTGTGTAACACTTTAGAAAAACCACAAATGAAAATCTATTCCTATCTATATATATTTAAATATCTTCTCTTTCTAATCAAAACCATGATAATTGTTAAAAAAGTCACAGTTAAATTAACGAAAATTCTAATATTTACTGGTATTTGGGTTTTACTTTAGTTGGCTACAGGGTAACTTCTAGTCGAACACACTCCCTTGTTCACATATATATACATATACGCATATTTGTGCATTTCCCACAGTGTCTCGTTTAATGATGCTTTTGTTGCGAGAGATTAATGAATTCTGTTTCTAAGCTCAAGTTTGGCATCGACGTATCACAACCAACAAAATTTGTCTACCTAAATAGATATATATATATATATAGCATCTTTTATGTATGTGAGAGAAATTTGAAACATTTCCGGTTGGCAGACTCGAACGTAAGAGGGCAAAGCCAATTTTCATTAATAGAAACCAATTGGTTCGGCTCGTGTGAGATGACTTCGGGATTGAACAATTGCCGGTCACGCCACAAACATCACACAAATGAAAGCTGTTCAGAGATGTTGCATATACATATGTATATGCCCAGAGAATTTCAAATGGAGCACCACGACATTATCAATAGTTTAAATTCCATATTAATCTGTGTTTAAATTTCTATATCAGCTTCTTATCAATTTGGGAGTGCATTGAGATATTTTCGAATTAAATAAGATATATGCATATTTTTACGCCAAATTCGAAACACTCGACAATTTTTGTGTTCACTTAAAACAATTAAAACACAAGTGTTTTAACCTTGAGAGGCAATTAATTGCACCTTGGTGGCTATTATTAAGCAGGCAGAAACATTTCCAGATCCCATTCAGTATTGATCAATTTCATTTATTTTTTTATGATAACTCAGAAAAATCTTAGCTTAAACCTTTTAAAAGTCAATTACTTTTTTCCATAGATTACAAATACATAGGGTATATATAAAAACAAATATTAGATATCTATTTTAATTGAATTAATTAAGATTGATAGGAAAATTTGAAGCCCTATAGAAATTGCCTTCACGTCATGAATACGGGCTACACTGATTTATTCACTTGAAACGGTACTTGGATCAAGAATCCAATTAACTTAACTTAACTTAATTACATTTGAAGATTTTTGTTGTTGGTGTGTAAGTCCAGAATGCGAATACTTGTTTTAAGTTTGTTTCTACCTTACCAAAGGTTTAAACGTATTTAATTCGAGTGGAAGGCACACATGAAATAAACATGTTTTGAAAGTTCGCAAATATTAAATTTCGAAAATGTTCAGAATTTCTGTAATTGAAGTAAAATAAAACTTCGCGACCGCAGTAAATACAATTCTATTCGACTTCTTGATGTACTTGAGTTTTTTTCATGTACGACTTGATATTAAAAAGGCTGAACGAATTTTTGGGACGTGTTCTTATTTTACATAAAAAAAAACCCCAACGAATTTTCACAAAGTGACGCAATAAGCTTAAAGTGCATACAAAAGATAAAAATTTTAACAATAAGCTCTTTGGCTTATCGCATGAGTTCATGCACAGAAATATATATTTGTGTATATGCATAGAAATTGGGTCAGAAAGAAGAGCAGAATGTGGCGACCCCCAGCTAAATGCACAACTTCAGTCTGGGGCAGAGGGGGCAAGGGGCAGCACAAAGCAGACAGCAGCGGGGTCAAATGTGCTGGGGCCGCAACAAAACAAGTGAGGCAGCGATACGAGCAACAGACAGAGAGAGCGAGAGAGAGAGAGAAAGAGAGAGAAGGAGAGCCAGTTGAAAAGAGAAATAAGAAGTGAGCAAACATAAATCAGCGTTGATTGCCAAACAATTGCAACAATGGGGCAAGAGTGGGACTCGGGTAAATTGTGGGCTGGGGGGAGGTGTTGCATGTTGCTATTGTGGCGGCAACATTTTGCGGCAATCGGCAGCGAGTGACGCGCCGTAGTAAGTAGGAAATAAGCAATTTGCCAAAGTAAATAATTAAAATAAATAAATGACACAAGCGACGCGCTCAAAATCAAATGGGAAATTGAAAAATTAGCGAAGCAAAACGAAAGCCAAAGCTGGACAACAATTCAAATTGCCACACACAACACAGACACAGTCGGGCAGGTTGTTGCCAGCGCACAGTGAGGCAACAATGCCACGCCTCAAGCCCCTCTTCGTTCAGTTTTTATTTTGCATGCCTGAGTGGACACTGAACATGGACAATTTTTTGTTGTTCCGGTGACCGCCACAGTTACACGACTGCTGCCTCTTTATATTAAAGTCATCAACGGCAGCGCTGCAACCGCAGCTGCCCCTGCCACAAACTGTGGCATGGAAGTCATTGCGCTGAGTTTGCATTTGAAGCCGATGATGTCTCGATGCGAAAGCCGCAAACGGAAAAGCAGGCAATATAAAAAAAAATACAATAAAAATAAACAAAATCCCACGAGTAAATTAACTTGAATGGCTTTAGCTCCGGTTACCTCCCCAGCTGTAATCTTGTCTATAGCTTAATCGTCAGGCGGCAGCGTTAAAGCA